GAGAGGTCGGACATGAATTTTTGACTTAAATTGCTAATTTTGATATTTAATTCGTTACATTTTAAATTTTAAGGTGCGCATCTAGCAGAAAATTTCACGAGGAAACCAATGGAACCTATTTTAAAATCTCAAAATTTTGTATAAATAAGGTCATAAGATTTTAAAGTTTCAAAATATTGTCCGACCTCTCCCATTGACTCGATCCACTGTGCGGCGTGCAGCGTGGCGGTCGCTCATCTGAAATCAAAACAAAGACCAAGGAATGACCCGGTAGATAACCCCGCGCTCATTTTGTCAATGCTCTATGCACTAATCACCCCTAATTAGTGGAAAACCGTTCGAGGAGATGAGTGTTGTGATGTCGTCGTTTCTCACTTCGTTTCGAGGGACGGAATGTGCAGAATTTGCACATGCTTATGTGCAGTCGCACAATGAAACTGCTGATTCCTATTCATGAGATTGTCGAAGAAGCCAAGACCTGAGGACCTCCTTACAGGAATCCTGAGAAAACACAGCTTACTTTTTTTTCAAGAGACTATTTCACGATTTTTTTTTGCCAAGAATTTCACGTGATTTGGAATTCATCAAATCTGGAAGGGAAAGGAATTATCTTGAAACGATACAGGGAGCCTCTGCACATTGACGGCCAAAGCGCAATACCAAGTATCTCAGTTGCAATACTTCAAAATTACCGCTTATCTCTTGTTTTTTGAAGAGAAGCGAGCCAACTTCATTGCTTAAGGTGATTCAACGGACGCCATTTTTTGTGTCAGAGTGACGTGCGATATATCGCATCGATTCGTTCCATAATTTCAGCTACTTGTCTTTTTTTCGAATTTTGAGATCGCACTTCTGTTGTCATGAGTCTAAACAATTCATGTCCCTAATTTGACAAATAAATTCAACGTAAAAAAGGCGTGGTTTTTTTGAGGAAAAATATCGCATTCGAGTGCAGTTTCGATATCAGATCGAATGCGATATTTTTCCTCTAAAAAACTACGCCTTTATTACGTTGAATCTCTTTGTCAAATGTGGTACATGAGTTCTTCAGTCTCATGATAACAGAAGTGCGGTCTCAAAATTTGAAACAAATGACAAGCAGCTGAAATTATGGAACTAATCGATGCGATATATCGCACGTCACTCTGACACAAAAAAGGGCGTCCGTTGAATCACCCTAAAATTGAAACAGAACAGACGGAACAAATTCACTGGAAAAAAATTCTCGGCGTTTTTACCAAGGTCCGTTGGTACCTTTACCATCTCACTTTTTTTTACCAATTATTGGTAATTTTACCGAGACAGACTGGTAAGCTTACCTAAAAACCGGTATTTTTACTGTATTTTTCAGGTGAGAATACCACTTTTATTGGTAATCAATTCCCGGTAACTTTGCCATTTTTTCTCGGTAATTCTACCATAGTCGATACAAAATATTGGCATTTTTACCAAGGTCCAGCAAAATAACCAAGAAAGTTCAATAATTTTACCGAGCTTTCTCGGTACAATTACCAATTCCATTAATGGTAATTTTACCAAGAAAAAACTGGGATCTAATAGAACCCTGAATTCTTGGTAATTTTACCGTTTTCTTAGTAAATACACCGAGATTTTTTTTTTTCAGTGTTGAAACGTATTGATTAGTTAATTCAAAACCACTCTCAAGTTATTTTTGTTTGCCAAACTGAGACTTAGTACGTTTTGGTCAATATTCTTTCCCTGCACCTCAGCTCTGGTTCCCTTGCTCTCGAAGGAGAACATACCTACAAATACAACGAAACCCATCCGACTCTCCAGCTTCCACGTTCAACCCGAGGTGGTGGCTGGATCGTTCTGCTGCCACGCTAAGAAAAAACGCCGTATGAACATTCGACAGTTGCCAAGTTTCCTCGGATAAAATATATGTTTTTGAGGAAAGTAATGCGTATTTTTCCAAGAAATTGTCAGATCTTTAGGATTAAAAAGCCAACAATATTGCCTAAAAAATTTGAAGAAAGATATTCACAATTTTCCAAGTACATTCGTTTCGTATTAGAGGAAATATGGCAACGCCTAAGAGCTCATACGGCGTTTTTCCTTAGCACGGCAGTCTGGACGCTCGTTGAAAAATGAGCTTTCTGGGTGTACTTGTCAGAACTCTTTCAAAGCGAGAAAGCTGAGGGCCCCGAAGATGCAGGGCCTGAAGCTCAGAGCCGGGTTACTCGAGTTCAAGTTGAACCTTTTTTCTCTGTTTTGGTTTATGGGGCGGGGGGCGAGGTGATCCCCATTATTTACTGCCCGTCTACGCTGTGCAGCCACGTTCCGTTTAAAAGTACCCAAGTTTGTACACCAGTGTAATTTTAATATTTGTCCAAAGACTCATTATAAATTTTACAACATGGTGGTCGTAGCGCATGTCCACTCGTACAAAGTACCATTGCGTAACAAGTACCCATCTGTAATCTAGCAGGGCACAACTGCCTTGCTAAGGAAAACATCGTATGAACCATCAGGCGTTGCCAAACTTCCTTTGATAAAACACGAATTTCCTGATAAACTTCTGAATTTTTGTGTTCTAATTTTTCAGGCAATTTTATTTCTTAACTTTGCCTGAAGCTCTTGAAAATTTCAAGGAAAAATGTTCATAACTTTCCCCCAAATAAACGTTTTATCGAAGGAAATTTGGCAACACTCCAGTTCATACGGCGTTCTTCCTTAGCACGGCAGACAACTTATGCGCGTATGCATGCCTGCTCGTTCCACAGAGAAGAAAGGAAAATGAGCGGGAAAGCTGTAATACGTTCGCATGGATCGTATTCGATACATTAAACAGGTGAGATTGTATCGATATTGATTGGTTCAACATGTAAACATAGTCTCAAAAGTCAATTAAGGGGCTTAGAGGACAAGGCGCATAAGTGCACTTTTTGAAAAAATTGAGATATTAATGATTTCAAGTAAAACTAGTCTTAATGCATATCCTGTAAAAAAATTTGTTTCCACATTCTAATTTTTAAGCTTTAAAACGTTAGTTTACACTTTTTTTCTGCCATAAGGATCCATGTAATTGCAAAACTTTTAACACGTATTTCTCGAAATAGGAATAACAGCACTTATATGCGCCGTGTCCTCCAGGCCCCTCAATTGAATAATCTGCAAGGACGGATTTTTGTGATAGACGTTTGATTCTCAGGAGCACCACATGACAATGAAAGGTAAAATCGTTAGGAATTATCTCTCTTTCAGCTCTTCTACCTTAAATCCTAAAATTTATGTTTGAAGTTATGTTCGTTTGTTTCGAACCAAACGATTTATCGAACCACCGCCCATCCACTAGAGAGGCGCTCAGCTATTTCCGATGTCGGCGCGTTTCTAAGCTCCCATAGAGGATGAGCATCGTTGAGATGAAAGAACTCGTTCACCAAGCTTTCAACCAACAATTTTGAAAAAAATACTCTACCGCGAAAAAAATAATCGAAGAAAAAGAATTATCGTCCTCTGTGACATTAGGAGCATTAAATAGAAAGAATCACAGTTTCATATATTGGCATCTCTCCTCCATTTTGCTGTAGAGCTGGTACGCCATTTGAACGCATTGCCACCAGTTTACTAAAATTCTAGAGGCAGGTAGAAATCATAGAAGTTAACCCTTGAATCAATAATTCCGCATTAAATGGTTTTTGCACGTATCGATCGTATAGGAATGACACTTATTTTGATCAAAATGTTTCATAGTTTTTGCTTAAAATATGACTCGAAATATTTGTGAAATTCACAGAGATTCTCCTTTTGAAAGGACAAAGAAAATTCAAAATAATTACTTAAAAATAACTGTGATGGCTTGACCCTCAACATATTAAAATACGAGAAGAATAAACGTCAGCATTGAAGATGGATTTTTTCTACAATAGTTCAGTTCAACCATCGATCTCTGCCCAACTACGCGAAAAACTGGCCCAAACTACGCGAGGTCGGGTCAATCGATCGAAATTGAGAAAAAAAAAAAAAAATCTATTAATCAAAATGATGTTAGAAGGAGGCTATAGTATAGACATTTGGTTCCCTAATAAGACTTTGTAGCGTTAATCTATTGTAAATATATTGGAATACAGCAGTTTTGCAAGATCACGTTTAAAAAAAAAGAAAGAGAAAAAAATTTTTTTTTCTTCTTTTGCTTTCCCTGATCGTTCACAAATATTGCTACAATCGAACGAGTTTCCGACCAAATAAGCTCGTTTCATGTTAAGATAGCGATTGCCTCTCTGATATCAATGGGTCAAGTCGCCGTCTATGACTATGGCGCACATTATCGCGGATGCATGAGATGTGGTCCTTATTGCAATTGAAGGCGCACTCAACCAACCGGCTGGTAAAANATATTGGAATACAGCAGTTTTGCAAGATCACGTTTAAAAAAAAAGAAAGAGAAAAATTTTTTTTTTTCTTCTTTTGCTTTCCCTGATCGTTCACAAATATTGCTACAATCGAACGAGTTTCCGACCAAATAAGCTCGTTTCATGTTAAGATAGCGATTGCCTCTCTGATATCAATGGGTCAAGTCGCCGTCTATGACTATGGCGCACATTATCGCGGATGCATGAGATGTGGTCCTTATTGCAATTGAAGGCGCACTCAACCAACCGGCTGGTAAAAGCAGCAGTGCTGTACCCTGTACCCTGTATCTGTTGGCGCGAGCAAAGGCTGATTTGAAATGCGCGCTCCCAAGTTTTCTAGGGGAAGTTGAATGCGCCCCTAAATTAATGGATAATTTCATTCGTAGGAAATCAATGCGTGACGTAAAGAGAAAGACGAGATGAAAAAGTAAAGCGAGGGAAAATTTTTGAAGATAAGTAAGATAACAGAACTCGAGAAATAGTTGAGATCGCACAGTCAACCGTTCTTATCCAAGATACTTTCGGAGACCCTGGCGCTATCGATGATGATAAACTGAAAATTCCGAGTGGTTTGCTTACAAGTGTTTTAATGTAAAACACGTGACACGTGCAATGAATCTGGTTAATTTTACTTCAGGAGTGGCTGCGATTAGTATAGTATGTACTTTTAAGTTCACTCGTTCAAGTTACCGACCTTTTTAACAGTTATTTTTCATGTTATCTTTTTTAACGATTTATCCATCGCTTGTTTTTAAGGTACCCTTATTAACAATTCATTCTTTTTTAAAATAATGTTCAATTGGTTTAAATTTTCAATATTTTTTTTCTCATTGATATATCGGTTTTTTTTCTTGCATTCACGTGTTTCACTGTCTTTTTTACTCAATCTCTTTAACTCGGATGAATGAGATCAAAGGAACAGTATTTATTGCTATCGCATATAGGTATTTTTAATCATTGATTAAAGAAATTTCGAATGCATTTTGGGTTCTAAGAGACCATTTTCATCAAAGCACGAAAAAACTTAAGAATAATATCATTTAACCGAAGTAAGCTCATAAATTTGCAGTATAACTAAGCCATGAGAACGGGCCCAACAAACATACGTATAAAATGTTATTACACCAAAATCGTTTAAATGGAATGATATAGGTACTGTAGAAGTATAACAGCAACTGGAATTAAATAAAAAGGAACCATCTCCTTTGTGACATTGTTCTCGTCATGAATGTGTTCTCATTGGTCTCAAAGTCAGGTTGAGATTGATAAGTCCTTTCAGATTTAATTGGACGGTGAAATTCCCAAACCCCGATCTCGTTTGTAGTTTTTCAAAATTTCCGCTGCCTTTTTTTCAGGGAAGACACATCAATATTCTTCCTTGAAGTTTTCATGACATTCTCTTTGTGCAGAGGCGACAAATCACGGAAGTTTAAAACAATTGACTTTCAGTAGTTTTCCATTAAAAAGAAGTAGGACAAGGAGTCTGAATCGTCGCACACGTGGTTTGTTTCACCATCGATATACGTTCAAATATTCGTATCTTTAAGTCCGTCGTAATTTGTTGGTGAGAGTACCAAATTACGTATTCCGGATTGCAGCGTTGCAAATATCTGTCGCATTTTACTTTTCCGGAAAAGGCCTGATCATTGTTTTCGTACAGAATTTTGTTTGATTTTTGCTCGTTAATTCAACAATATTCTTTGAAAATTTCGTGAAAAAGAATTTTTTGAAAAGTGCGTGGACTAGTATTTTATCAGAGAAATGAGCCAGGTACAGTTGGAAGTTATCAAATATCACAATCGATATAAGCGATTTGGTAGTTTTCCTTTCGGATTGGAGTACTGGACTAAATTTTGCGATTAGGAGCTACTGTTTCTGGTTCTCCCGTAAAATGACTTATTTGCGTGGGAAAACAAGTGGCACGTACGCTGTTTGTAAATTGAGCCAGGAAACGTTCTTTCCTATCGCAAAATTTAGTTAAATTGGTCTTTTACATTTAAGTTGGAAAATGCGTAGGCACCTTGAAACCGTCCTTAAATATATCTACACTTCGCTGACAATTTCAAGTCTAAACATTCCGTTTAGAGCATTTAGTCTCAGGCAGAAACCTTAATAGACAATACTTCCTGTATGTAAACAGAGAGCACTCATTAACAATTTGATATTCTTAAGAAGCCTATTCAACCTTTACCTCAACTGGTTATTAACGTAGGTATAAGGGTAGTTATTTCTTCTATTTTTACAATGAAAATTAGAAGACAGTAATAAATAATGAGGCGTCGTCTAAGTGTCACAGCGATTTTAGCGTTCCTCCTGCCAGCGAGGGTAGGCAGGGCGGTCAAGACATCTTCGCAGTAGGACGCGCCTTCAATCCAGCGAAGCTGCAACATGCTCACACCCGTGGTCAAATAGTTGTATGTCACGCCTGCCGTAAACGAACTCAAATATCGATGGTTCCACGCGAAAAGGAGCTTATTTACCTCGATTGCAACGTTGCAAGCCAGGGTTAATGCTTTACTTTCATTTATTTTTTTTGGAACATACGCACCAATTCTATGAAAAATTTACAATTATTTTAAAACGATATTAATTGAAATAAGGAGAAATTTCGTCGCAATATTATATTTCGTCCTATTTTCCTTTTTTGCTTTTTACCGAAAAAAAACCGCAGTCCCAGATTCTAAATCGTAGCTATTAGGTTAGTTATTCTTGTTTTTTTTACGATGAAAATTGGGAGAAAGTCATTAATAATGACGCGTCGTCTACGTGTCGCAGCGATTTTAGCGTTCTCCCCGCCAGCGAGGCTGGACAGGGCGGTCAAGACATCTTCGCACTTTGACGCGCCTTCAAACCTGCGGAGCTGCAACATGCTTACACCCGTGGTCAAATAGTTGTATGTCACGCCTGCCGTAAACAAGCTCAAATAACATTGGCTCCACGCGAAAAGGAGCTTATTTACCTCGATTGCATCGTTACAAACACCGGTTAATGCTTTCTTTATTTCATTCAATATTTTTCAAAATAACGCGCTAATTCTATAAAAAATTTACAATAAGTTTAGGAACGATTTTAAATGAAATCACGGGAAATTTCGTCACGACATTATATTGTGTCCTTTTTTCCTTCTTTGCTTTTTACCAAAAAAAAACCATGGTCCCATATTTAAATCGTAGCTATTAGGATAGTTATTCTTGTTGTTTTTACAATGAAAAATAGATGAGAGTCTACATAAAAACGGGTCGTCGAAATGTCGCGACGACTTCAGCTTTCGATCCGCCAGCGAGGGACGGCAGGGCGGTCAAGACATCTTCGCACTTTGACGCGCCTTCAATCCGGCGGAGCTGCAACATGCTTACATCCGTGGTCAAATAGTTGTATGTCACGCCTGCCGTAAACGAACTCAAATATCAATGGCTCCACGCGAAAAGGAGCTTATTTACCTCGATTGCAACGTTGCAAACCACGGTTAATGCTTTACATTCATTTAATATTTTTCAAAAGATACGCGCTGATTCTCTGAAAAATGTACAACAATTTTACGCATGATTTTAATTGAAAGAAAGGAAAATTTCGGCGCGATATTATATTGAAACCTATTTTCCTTTTTTGTTTTTTACAGAAAAAAAACCCTTGGTCTCATATTTAAATCGTAGGTATTAGGAAAGTTATTCTTGTTTTTTTTAAAATGAATATATCAATATTTCTTAAAAGATACGCGCTGATTTTCTGAAAAATCTACAACAATTTTACGCACAATTTAAATTGAAATCACGGGAAATTTTGTCGCGATATTATATTTTGTCCTATTTTCCTTCTTTGCTTTTTACCGAAAAAAAAATGGTCCCATATTTAAATCGTAGCTATTAGGATAGTTATTCCTGTTTTTTTTTTTTTACAATGAAAAATAGATGAGAGTCATAAATAAAAACGCGTCGTCTAAGTGTTGCAGAGATTTTAGCGTTCTTCCCGCCAGCGAGGGTCGGCAGGGCGGTCAAGACATCGGCTGAAGTAAAGGCGAGGAAAATGTATTCTTGTAGAACATTGTGCGTTTGTTAAAGCTAGATCAGCTGGAGTTAGTAGGTTAGTAAGGTAAGGTCAGGTTAGCTTAAGTTAGATTTGATAAGAAAAGTATACTGTTTCCTATTACGATGAAGAATGGATGGACATTAAAACGGAGGGAAGTACCCGTGTTTTTGGACTCCTTGCTCTAGCGAGGAGGCGAAAAGTTGAGCGATGAGCACGCAGAGTCCTAGATCTTCGTCAGGTCCTTGGACGAGATGAACAGACAATTGAATCAGTGAGTTCGAAAACACACCAACTCGGATTTTTTTCGATTTTCGCTTTTTTACGGTTTAGTAACACTATGAATAGAAGCATCTGCACCCAAAAGGAAATTTCGAAATTGCCATCGGAAGTGCTCGAAACAGCGACGGGAAAAGGGAAAAATCTAAGTATTTCATTTGAAATACCAATTTTTGGCCATTTCAAGGGAAACAGGTGATCATCCGATTTTGCGGTTTTCTTTTTCGGCTCAGTATACCTTGTACCAACAAGTTATAAAAATATTCAAGCGTTATTCAGGTCGAAAAATGTACATTTTTCTGGGTAGACTATGAAAAATCAGTAACTGAAAATCGTTGAAAACGAAAACACACAACTCGGAAAGTTTTAAATGCTTAATTCTCTGTCATCAAACATGGTGTATCGATTTCAATTTGGTGCTTTGCAAAGTCTCTGAGTTTTTGTCCTTTCGCACCAAAAAGGTTCTTCTTAAACTAACGTCTTCGCCTGCTGCGCAGTTTTAGGTGTTTCCATGAACAATTTCTTTTTTCCGAGTTGGTGTGTTTTCGAACTCACTGATTCAAGTATATTAAGGGTGAATGGTGAGCCTGGAGTTCGATGTCTTGGAGCTTGGACGAAATGCTGCATAACCGGAAACTATGTTCAATGATGCAGGTTTCGAGCCAACCCGTTATTTTACGAATACACAACCATAATGGAGATTGAGGCATGGACAAAATGGACGTTGCTGGTTATCGCTGTAGGCGTTTGTTTTTGTGAAAATATTGAAGTTTCAACACCTAAGGGTAAAATCATTGGGTCTGACAGACTAAGGACAATATTTGGCGATCGTATCATTTACAGCTTCACTAACATCCCCTATGCTAAGCCTCCTGTTGGAATTATGAGGTTCCAGGTAAGTCCCAAGCTATGATAAGCATTAAACTCCCGTCCACAGCAAAAACGCCGCCGTAACTCCACTCAAAAATGTTATTCCTTCTTTCAAGCACGTACTGCCCTATTACAAGAAAATTTAATTGCCACAAGGTTTCATTTTTTAATTTTTAGTTCCCAATGGTGTGGCGAGGTTGTATTGAAAAAATGAGGGCAGGGTCGGACTGGCTCGCATATGAGGGCGTAGACCGTAGACCCTTGGCTGGTTAAAGAGGCGTAATGTGAAATTTCCCAGTAGAACATTCCTTACGTGGAGGAAGGCTCAGAGAATTTTGGCAAAGCAGCTCAAGTTTACGCTATTTTCAGGTTCAAACTTGATGAATCGTACACAATAAAAATTGCAAAATTGAACGTATTGAAGTAACCGATAGACTTCTGAAATTAAAGAATAAATAAAAATTCCTAATTTTTCATACAGGATGGTTTTTTTTTATCTACATAAAAAATAATACTTTCCTTCAAAATCCACCAGGAACCCGAGGAACTGGACTCCTGGGACGACCCTATTAATGCAACCACAAAGGTCCCTTACTGCCCTCAACTTGTGAATGATAATGCCCCTTATCCGCAGGTCATGGGGACGGAAGACTGTCTTGCTCTCAATGTGTATACACCGAAGGTAGGTCATAGAATCACAGACTGAAGAATACGAGGAGGTAAGCGAATATTCTCAAGTTTGTCAGTTAATATTTATTATGACGATCAGCAACTAGGTTATTTACGTCGGAGACTAGGAATTTACCTTCCATTTTGTAAAGCATTTCTATATATATGCAGGTCAAATCGTCACTTTCCGGCCCGAAGTATCACAAGCGTCATGCGACTTTTAAAAGCTTCCGCCGACATTTCATTTTTTTTACAGAGAAATTGGTCGACGAGGCTGTCCGAAAATTTTCAAATTCAAAATTATCAAATTTTCTTTGTGCTGTCAATAAAATTCAGTGACATTTTCAAACAAATTCAACCAAACGATTTCTCCGTAAAAAAATAAAATGGCAGCGGCAATTTTTAAACGTCGCATGGCGTCTGTGATACTTTGGCCGGAAAATGACGAAATATTTATACATTGGAGTGCGAATTGGCTGGCTGAGCTATCAAATTAGAAAGGAAGATGATAATCAAGCCACAAGCCCCCCCCCAAAAAAAAAAAAAAAAAAAAAAAAAAAAAAAAAAAAAAAATTGTATTCAATTGGATGATGAGCAAGCAATTAATTGACAAAGGCGAAATGACAAAAGAAAGAAACTTACAACACACCAGATGTTTCGATCCATCATTTTATAGTCATCATTTCTCGTTTAGTGTATGCAAGTTTCTTTTGTCATCTTTTCTCTGTCAATTGCTCGCTTGAGGTTAGCATCATGTAATTGAATACATTACCATTTGTTTTGTTTTAGTGTATTTTCCGAAGGAAAAATACACTATTGCATTCTCCCTCATGGTGGCGGGCCATCCTCAATTGATCCATTAACACCTTAGAGGAGAGATCAAAATATTGTACAGAATTTAAAAATTTAAAGTAGGGGTCACAAAAGGTAGTACAAAATTAAAAGTTAGGACAAGGAAAGAATACATTAAATTTGGAGATTAATTCGTTTAATAAACAAACAATCTGGCTCACCGTAACATCGATAAGAAGCTAAAATTTTACAAAAATTTCAATTATACGGCAGTAACAATTTAAACTAGCCCGTCTACGAATTACACATGAAAAAACACATGATAACACTTTTAAATCGCCTTTCGCCTTTATCATAGGAGGATATAAGATGTGCATAACCTCAAACTTGCTTGCTGATAACAGTCATCTTGATTGTTTATTTACGGCCGTAAGAACATCGTGTCAGCCTATTTTCACGCGACTAATGAAAAACTGGCACAGAAATGGCCGTACTCTGTCTATATAGGCACTCTAGTCATCGATTGCACGTAATCAGTCTGTTTCTTCTAGGTTAACAAATCGGCAAAACTTCCAGTGATGATCTTCTTTCATGGCGGAAATTTCGATGCAGGGAGTAGCGCCACTTATGGGCCCGAGCTAATGCTGGATAAAGACATCTGCTTGGTAACCGTGAATTATAGATTGGGTGTTCTAGGTATGCTTTTCCCGCCATTCTGTGAACTTTGCACTTGGAAACTTTGTAACAAAATTTTCTAGACTTTCAGAGAGGCATAAATACTCCGAAACACAAAAGACCTTGTCCATTTGACCAAAGGTTCGCGGAACTTTCAGCTGCGCAATAAGCATCCTTTTGCGCCCCTTTTGGGCGCAGACGAAATGAGTTTTAACTTACAAGTAGCTTTAACTTATTTCGCCGAAGTTCCGGGAACTCTGCGCATGCATGTGAGTTGCTGATATTCAAAGCTCACAGATATATTTTAATGAGATTCATTAACTAATTGATTTAAAGCTTACTGTACATCTAATGTCGTCGCTGAAACCCACCATGGTTTCATGGTAACTACTTATGTATCGAGGAAGCCGGGTGTACTACACTTTTTTGGTGGCAAATAAAGCTCTGTGGGCTCCTCCAGGAATTATTTTTGGAAAAATTAATCTGATACTTCTGCATGGACAATTTTGGAGTCATTTAAAAAAATTAAGACACGCATCACTTATCAAGTTCTTCTTACTTCAGACTTTTACCTAATTTTTTCATTGGCATATTGAAGTTTGCTTTCTAGGTCTTCTCGAATCAATTTATGAATAATAATAAGGAGATTTTGACTTGCTGGTAGTTTATAGAAACAATTGTTAATACAGTCTGAAGACAATGCGTCCCCATCAAGCTTTCATTCTGCCTTGCTAAGAAAGAACGTCATATGAACATTCGAGAGTTGCCAAATTTCCCTTGATAAAACTTGTATTTTTGACTTAATTCATGCACAGTTTTCTTTGATTTTCCCAGATTTTTTAGATTAAATTGCGTACAAAATTGTCTAAACATAAGGGGAAAATATTCACAATTTTTCCAGTAAATTCGGTTTTTATCGAAGGAAACTTGGCAACGCCTGAAAGCTCACACAGCGTTCTTTCTTAGCACGGCAGTATTTATTCCTCTGTTTTTTCAACAGGCTTTCTTACCACTTGCGATGAATTTATCCCTGCGAATATTGGTTTGAAAGATCAGTCATTGGCTATTAAATGGGTCCATGATAATATTGAATATTTTGGTGGGAATCCTGATCTGATCACCGTAATGGGAGAGAGCGCAGGGGCTGCATCAACTCATTTGCATCTCTTGTCACCACTCAGCAAAGGTGAGTTTGAACACCCAATAGGTAATAAGTAGCAGTAAAAGCAAAGACGAAGTGGCAAATATGCCAGGATTCTGGAACACTGAGAAATTAATGGCGGGCAGTAAGCCCGCATCCCCCCCCTTCTAAATTTATAGAATGGCTAAATGTTTTGTCGTTTGTCATGTCATCAAATTTTGTTTTGAATAATCCTCTCTTTTTATAATTTTTGTGAGCAACTTTACCGAAATCTATGTAATAAAATGACATATTAAATGTCATATTATTTCATGGATTTTATTTTATATTTTAAAATATTGTTTCTTATAGTTTTTAAATGCAATTGTCTACGGGATAATGTGCATAATAATTCAAAATTGAGTTATGCCGCCGTGCTGAGGGAAAATACCGTATGAGCCTTCAGATGTTGCCGAATTTCCTTCAACAAATCACGAATTTTCGGGAAAATTGTTGAACAATTTTCTTCCAATTTTTCTCTGATAATTTTTTTCGTAATTTTATCTAAAAATGCTTATAATTTCAAAAAAAATACTTAAACTCTCTTTGAAATGAATGTTTTCTGAGAGGAAATTTTGGAAAAGTCTAATGCCCATACAACGTTTTTCCTCAGCTTTTCAGCATTGAAATCAAATCTAAGACTGCACGGTTGTATTTTTTAAGGATCCTTGTAAAACTACACAGTAGAAAAAGTGTCTCCATATCGACGGTGTATGTCGGCAGAGTAGAATCAAATAAGTTTTGCTCTACCATGTCTGTCGACTTTTTAGCCCTTCAAAATGGAAAAATCTGACCTTTTTTTTTCTAAATTTGTTCAAAATTTTACGCTTAGTCAGATTCCAACATCGTTTTAGGCAGTTTTTGCCATTTAATATCAGAATTTTGGCCCTAAACAGCTGAAATGTCCTGTACCGTAGCCTGTCTGTGACTCAAGTGCGCAACTTTAACGCTACATAACCATCATCTTGCATCTAAAGACTTCCACTTCTGCTGTAAATTCACACTCAACTTGTACCTAACTTATTATTTTCAGTTATATTCATCCAAATAAGTGAAAATATTGACCGTCTTTGCGTCAAGCAGCCTTGTCTGCGGAATTCGCGTCCTGTACCGTAGCCCCCTTTTTTCAGCATCATTTCGTCCGTTAGAGTGCAGCACTTATGAACTTTGTTTACTTTTTTTGCGTTATCGTGACTGTCACACGCTGATGTCGAGCAGAGGAAAAAAAACCGCAGTGAAACAATAAATTTTGACCGTTTTTTATGAGTTTCTAGGTTTAACGACCATCTAGGATGTCCTTACCGTATACCTACCTTTTTAATGCATAAATCACTTCAAACTCTCGAATTTTGGTATTTTTTGATACGCTCTGATATCTTAACCTCAAATCCAGAATTTCAACCACATGCGTGAATATGCCCGAGCACCATTGCCAATAATCACACGATTTGTCCGCACCGTAGCCGTCCGTACCGTAGCCCGTAGCCGTCCGGTATCGTAGCCCGTAGCTGACGCGCGATGCGGCCGGGTCTACGGTAAGTACGGACAAAATGCGAAAGTCATCCAAAAATCGGTGCGCTGTTTGATAGATCATCCCACTTTACTTTATTTTATCTATCACCAAAATTTGGAATTTTAAAAAAAAAGGGAGACGTATTTTTTTTTTACTACGACGCGACTTAGAAGAAGGAGGCTTTTTTTTCGATGATTGCATAAGGATCGCCATCTTTTTATTTTTTTCATTTTGTCTTTTAGAACTTTGAGTCCTCTTTTTCGTCTGAAGTTCATAGCAATTTATTCGTTTAATATTTATTCGTTAATATCTAACTTATTTTTTTCTTATCGTCCTTTAAATATTTATTTAAGGTGATTTGTGACCACATTTTCGATAAATTTACCTTTTTGTTTTCTTTCTTATTTTGTAAAAGTGCACTTAAAACGTTCTAACGTTGTCAAGCTTGTTTTAAGAACTCAGCTTCTAAGATTTGTCCCTAATTATTTAATGCGTTTACTTTAAAATAAAAGCAGTTCATTATTTTTGAAAAACTGATTTACTTACTCTTTTTACCTTTATTGCCTGTAATTATTTATAAAAGTGGCACTTATAAGCTATGCTATAACTTAGCAGTTTATTCCCCAATGAATTTCAGTTCTTTATAATTCGGCCCTTGCATACAGTAATATTTACGAATGCCTCTTCGTCCTTACCGTAGCCCGTTTGTGTACCGTAACGTTATTGTCCTGTACCGTAGACCAGTAAAAAATTGTACAATTTGTAGCTTTAAAAAGAGCAAATCTGTAGAAATTCTTTAAAAAAAGTTGTCTACCACATCTTCTAAGTTAGTTCTAAAGAAATTAATTAAAATTAAGCGTTTAATTACATTTCCTGGCTTTTTTAGGAGAAAAATGATGGCGCAAAATTCTAGAAATCGGACTTTAGAGCAATTTGGGGGCTAAATTTTGAAAGTAAAAACTTTGAAGGATATTTTGTTTTATTCTCCTACAAGAATATAGCTCTATGAGTGCAAAAAAACTTAAAACGGTATTATTGTCGCTCGTATTGATAGGAAAACAAGCCTGTTTAGTTAGTCTACGGTACGGACAAAAAATTTAACTTCCAGTGATAAAAGAGGCCAAAAAAAAATTTCTGTTGAAAACGAAGATTGACCCCTATAAATCCAACTTTCCAAGAGTATGAAGACTTCAGAAAACATGCTGAAGTTTTAAAATAACTAAAGTCACTTTTTTAAAAAACGATGGCTCCAAGAGCAAAACTTATTTGATTCTACTCGGCAATCACATAACTCGTTTGCGGTGTCTGAAAATCTCCGCCTCCATATTATTTTTTTGAAGGAGAACTAATTGACATCATTCCTAGAAGTTTCTGCAGAATTTTCTTCGCACAGAGAAGAAAAATCACGGTAGTTTTAAAAAAAAATTGCCATTGAGTAGTTTTCCGTTTAAAAAATAAAGCACGATAGGAAGTCTGTGACGCGACGTCTCAACCCGAGTTATGTGATTGCCGACTGACACCGTCGATATGTACTTATCTGTATTTTATGCGTCTAAATATTTGCTCTACGAAGTTGAGAAAAATACATAAAACTAATGATGCTCTGAAGTAAATAATCCTTAAAAGCTTAGGCACTGAACAAATGATTTTCCTTTATGATCTAGATTATATTCAACGGGGCATTATAATGAGTGGAACCGTGGATTGTCCCTGGGGATTCATGACCCGCCGGCTCGCCGTTTACAGGACGAAAGCGTTGGCTGTGCTCTGCGGTTGTCCCCCCAATCCCTCATCGGAGCTCCGGGAGTGTCTGCAAACCGTCCCGCTTCAGCAGATCCTGGATGCAGCTCGGAAGTTTCATGTAAGGAGATATCATTCTAATATCGTACTGATATGATTTTGATATCATAGAGAATCGGGCGATCCACGTTTTGATATCATGCTGATCAACTATACCAGGGATAGCTTTACGACCGATGGACCGCTAGACTAGGTACGAAGTAAAGCATTCTAACACATTTTTCAATCAGAATTTCAAGTAAAACACGATTTTCGCATGGAAAATTACTGAAATCAACTCCTAAGTAAGATACTAACGTTTTTATTTTACATTGGTTATTCGTATTGCCTGGTCGCGAGAAACGCAATATTCTACGCGAGTTCAATCGTGTTCTACAACGGTTTGAGCAGGCTTCTCAATCAAGCAATGTTCATTCCCCACCCTGTGTTGTTCAAACTATAAACAACTTGCTATAGCTGAGCCAAAGCATCAAGATCGAGATTGCCAGATTTTCAAATCCTAGAGACTGGCACGGTAACATTTGGTGCGCAAATAGACTCACGTAGACCATTGCGTTTTCATGAGCAGGAGGTTTGAATTATTCACGCGTCAATAAACAAGAAATATCTTGGTTAGGAGTTAATTTCAGTAATTTTCGTGGAGCGAATCGTGTTTTACGTAAAATTTTGGTTACGTATCATGAATCAGAATGCTTGACTTCGCACCCTGTCTGGTGGTCCACTCTGAAAAAAGTTCAGCGACAAACTTCACTCAAGGAAACCTAAGATTTCAAGGAATGCGATGAAATACCGAGGTACGCAAAAATATCCAAAAGTATTTTCCAAAATTCTAAATTTCTCCACTGAAGTAACTGCTCGTGCTTGATAGATGCTAGTGTTTCATCTGCAAAATTGAAGGCGTGATGGCGCGAAGCGTGAACTCGCAAAATTCTCCTCTATACTCCCAATGAGGTATCGCTCACAATCAGATTCAGGCAGATTGTTAGAAAACTAGGCCCGATTGCGTCTACATCTTCGGCTGTGTTGCTCACGCAGTCCTTGAAGCACCGCTACAAGTAAAACAATTGAAAACAAACACAATATGGAAATAGAGCAAGGAGAAGAGCGCGGTTGACTACGGCGCAGAGATACAACTATTCGTGCTTGATGGATGTCCGTGTTGCATCTGCAAAATCGAAGGCGCGATGGCGCGAGGCGTGAACTCGCTAAGTTCCGCTTTATATCCTTTTGCAGCCTTTCCCCAAATTAAGTTGTTATTTTATTCTGAAATGAATATCCTCTTCTTTTCTTCCCATTTATTTTTCATCTTCTCTGTTTTCCTTCAATTCTCTTCCTATTTTTGCTTTTCTTCCTCCTCTTCTTGTTTGTTTCCTCTCCTCTTTTTCAATTCCCCCCGCCTGTCTTTTGTCTTCTCGGCGTTCCCATTTTTTCAGCGCCCGGGGAAATGCTCCCATTACTCATGAGATGCCACAGCCCTGAATATAATAATAACCTACGCGTGACAATAATGTTAGCTACCTTATATGAATTACATTTCATAATAAGGAACCGCACTATCTCTGGCTCTTCCATAAAAGCACCTCTTTGCATAGGTAAATCAATGGCATATATTTTGTTCCTAATTTGAGCCAGAGATAGTGGTTCCTTGTTGCAAAATGTAGTACATGCAGCAAACGTTAAACATAACTTAGGAAGAATTTTCTCCTCCGTACAATTTCTCATAAATCTGGCGTTTATTGGTTTCTGTAGGAGTGGATCCTTGTGCCGCCAATCGTCTATAGGCCGACTATTGAAAAAAACGGCACAAAAAATTTCCTTCCGGCGGACCCTCGAACTTTGGAATCAAAAATTCCTATCTTATTGGGAATGACCTCTGGTGAAGGAGGGCTATTTGCTCCGAGTAAGTAACCAAAAACTAGAGACTATTTTTGACTAAAATTTTTGAAGTCTCAGAATTTATTAACCAACGATCTATATACCTACAAAAAGGCTATCAAACCGATGGCGAAAGCGCGAAAATATGTATCTCCGTTTATGATGTTGCAAACGTCCTGAGATACTTTATTTTTTCTTTGGGAAACTATTCTGCGGAATTACTTTAAAACTTCTCTGATTTTTCGTTTCCGTCAGCAAAATATTCTAAATAAATTCTAAACTTTATAGTTATCTTGTTCTTCTTCAGAATTCCTCGAAATGATAAAATAGGAGCGAACATTTTGAAACACTGCGATGGAGATGCGTTGTTTCCCTCTTTGGACATTAATATGGACGTATTTCTATCAAACGGAACTATGTGCATTATGACGTGAGCCCTGTTATGCACATATTCTTATGGGTCTCAGGGCTCATGTCTTAATGCACATAGTTCCGTTTGATAGAAATACGTCCATATGTAAGTAAGGAGCGTTCATATGTTAAAGTGTTGGGTGCAGACAGAGAGCACTTTTGCTGCCTTGCTGTGTTTTAGAACCTCCACTTCTAAATTAATTTTTTTTTTGTGGAAAGAGAGGGGGGGGGTCGGAGGAAGGGGAGGGAGGGAGGAGAGTACTTTTAAGGAGAATTTTCCGAAATTTTCTGTGCAGAGAGAAATTATAAAGAATATTCAGTAGAAGTTTCAATGAACAAATTGATTACATTTGCTTTGATCATTATATGTAGATGAAACCTTAACGTGAGCGTTTCAATATAGAGTTGTCAAAAATTAGCAAGTCTGTCGAAGAGGTAAAAGAACTAAATTTGTATCAGCAATACGGTTTTAATTATAAAAATAATGAAACATCTGGAAATTATTTTTAGAAATTGACTCCTCACTCCAATAAATAACTTTTAGATTATCATAACGGCTCATGGTGGATCGAGTTAATTAGAGAGGTCGGACATGACATTTTTGACTCAAACTGCATATTTTGATGTTTAATTCGTCACATTTTAAATTTTGAGGGGTGCTCATAGCAGAAAAGTTCACGAGGAAACCAATGGAATCACTTTTAAAATCTCAAAGTTTTGTATGGATGGTGTTATGAGCTTTTAAAGTTTCTAAATTTTATCCGACTTTCCCCATTGACTCGATCCTTCAAGCGGCTCCTTAATGATTATGAGTTCATTTAGAATGAATTTTCTTTTAAGTATATTTAGCTTATTCATCTTTATAAACGTTTCAGAAATACTCAATGCTGGACCGGAGTATGAAAACGATCTGAGAACCATACCATACTATATCCTGCCGAGGCTTCTTCTGTTGCGGGAGGATTTCCCGAAGGACAAAGTTCGTGCGGTCACCGATGAGATTATGGAACATCACTTCGGCCAAAAAACTATCGATTACAACCAGATAGGCGGAATAGTCGAAGTATGTAGAAGTACTGTAATTTTGATAAGATGGCTCCCAGTATAATGAGTTTTCTATTGATTTTTACGCCTGTACTTACTATGAATTACGTTCATCTCGCTTTACCTGAATCGAACTTTTTTTCTAAAAAGTTTAGCACTAAAAGTTTTGCTCTGACTTATGTTGCTTGTTTCTTTTGTACGGAGCGAAAAAAAATCGGTTCATGTCGGGCACCGAAATTCAGTTCCCACGACCGATAACATCGGTTATTTGATCCGGAAAATTGTGGTTTCCAATATGAGCAGGAAGACTAGTCCTTGGAATCTTTTTTCTCCGTATGTAACAGATCCTCTTGGAATTTCCATATGTTTACATTTTTAAAGCTGTTACAGAAAAAACTGTACCCAGTTTCACATTCTCACGTAAAAAGAATCTCTCACTGATTCCAGCCATGAATTATCACGTACATAAAATTTGTTTAGAAGCATATTGATCGATCAAAGATTCAAACGTTAAAAGTCCATACTATCAGATACGTATGAATGATTTGGAGGACACTTTGCAAAATTTGGCACCCTTGGCCCATCTATGCAATCGCATTTCCTTACATTTCACTTTATCTGAAAATAAGTTTAAATAATTAAAAACTTAGATAACATGTCTCTTGTGTGTATAGAGCTAATCTCTAGGTAGTTTTAGAGAATTTTCGAAAAGTTCCGAACAATGCCGCACTTTTAGGACGTTTTATCTCGCTGAGAATTCCATTTAATGCACCGTGGAACGACCGTAGCACAGTCAAATATCATTTCTCCGGCATGATCTTGGGCTTCTTTTAAAAATTTAGAAGTCTAGTTTTGGAAAAAAAATAAGTCTGTACCTTCAACTGCAATGCTCGAAGCTAGGAACAGGGGTAAAATTCTCGACAAAAACCTGACAAAATGAGGGTGAACGACAAAAATTCCTCGTCATTTCCTCGAGTTAGGTACACCATATTAGTACCTGAGAAAATATGGAATGGCTTTGTTCATAACTTACATCTGTAGTATGCTATATACTTTCACAATCACTATGTAAAGTAAATATGAGTTACTCGTAATATAGTAACTTTGAAGCGTCACAATCAAGATGCAGAGTTTATTGCTGTGCGTTTAAAATATTCCCTATTTTGACATACCCCGAAATTGTTTTATTGTTTTATATAACCTCACTCTCTTACTTTTTCAGCTGTTCACGGACAGGTGGTTTCTGCACGGAACCATCGCGACTGCTGAAAATTACAAGGGAGAGGCGTACCTTTATTACTATGATTATCTACATACCGACTTCCGCAAGACTCCAGTTGCAAAAAACAGGGTCGAAGGTTAGAGGATTCTTTAGTAAAACAATGTAATTGATGTCCTTGGAAAAAATACTCTTTTCCCACAAAAACTTAAAATTGAGTTGTTGGTACTATAGTTAAGAGGAGTATCTTATGATCCTTCAAGACCAAAATGTTCCACATTTTAAAATGAAAGAATGTACAACATCGTCAAACCAAATCGGTGGTCTACAGTTTGCAGTTAAAATAGGGAAATTTTGAGAGGAGGCTTCATAATTATATTCTACCATGTCCGGGACACGAAATCTTCAGGTTACAGGGTTTAACCATCTATCGGCAAAGAAAAAAAAAGAAAAAGAGAAAAAGAAGATTAAAAAAAATTAAACTGCTCAAAACTTATTCTCTGTCAAGGTTTTAAAATAGTGTTGGGTCCACACTGTTTTGAGGTGAAAGCAAGGACTCCAATGCATTTGAATGAGCTGAACATACTCTCCCTCTCAGTCTTGTGCTGATCCTATTACACTGATAAAAATATTCGTGTTCTTGTATTACATTCGTTGATGTTGGAAGTGAAACACAAATCAATCCAAATTTTGTGTTGATTTTAGTACTGTTTGTGGTGAATTTTGCGCAGAAAACAACGGAGAGACTAGGAAACCCCAAAGTCAACCGAAGGCTTGGGTTATTTTGTGCTGTATTTATTTTATTAACTCACCTTTTGTATTGAGTTTTCTCTCTGTGTAGTGCTCAAATTTTTTATTCTAATTGAAATTTTTCAAATTACTGGGCCCTACTTTTACCGCAAAATAGTGTCGACATGCCACTATTTTACCACCTTGTTACAGGCAGTTCTGACTTTATTCCAATGGTTTTTTTCTTTGCTGATTCTCAAAGGTTTCTCTCAAAGGTAGAAATTTTAAAATTAAATTTTCCTTTCCACTTGGACAAAAATTTCTCTACATTTTTCATTAAAAACATTGCATTGCTTTTATTTGAATTAAACTGAATTTTCTTTATGGAGATTATACAAAAATTGACACTACCGCCAAGGCGAGGCATGAACAATCGATTAGCGATATTTCCGCATTTGAAGCTATGGTAAAAGAATAGACTATTAAGGTGTACTCTGCGAACACCCTGTTTATCGATCCTTTCCCATAGGTTTAAATAGCAGATCAATTGATATATCACAAAGCACGCCACGCCACTGACTGACACCTCATATCAAAAATTAACTTGATTTCCTACAGGAACAGTGAGTCACGCTGATGACTTACTCGATTTCTTCCCAATCCTTAAAAACCGAACTTGGACTGACGAGGAAATCGCTGTTTCAAAAAGGAATATTGATCTCTGGACCTATTTTGCCATTCACGGGTGAGTGAACATCATACTCGATCTTTACTTCTTTTTAAGGTTTTGGAGGACAGAGCGCTTATGTGGAGTTTTTGAAAAAAATTGAGTTATTAATGATTTCGAGTAAGAATAGTCCTAATGCATACGTACATAAAATTCACTCTTACAACATTAAGATGTCGGAATTTTTTCTCTTATCATTTTACTTTTATTTTTTTGTATGTAGTGCAACATTATCTTAATATCCTAGAGGGATGTATTACAAAAGTTTCACCGTCGAGGATTACTTAAGGTTTGTAAAAATGGTTGTCTTAATGGCGTGCTATGTTTAAGATCTTCTCAAATAAACGACCTGTATATAACGTTATCCCTCGGGAGTTTCTTTAAAAGAAGGGGCTGTTTATACTGAGCAAGAATTCAACCGAATAGTTAAGAATACCACAAGCGTTATGCCTTAAAAATCATATTCATTATTCTTTTTTGCACTAAATTTTCTACTCTTTTTATTTAGGAAACCGAATCGGACCGCCTTTCCAGAGTGGGACACGGCTGATACAAAAAAGTATCTACACATTACGGGAGATGGACTGACGGTCGAGGAAGATCTTTTGCCAGAGAGAGTAAACTTTTGGCGGTCTTTGTACAGCAACGAATCGTCGTCTCAACGAGAATCCTGAATCAATCAATGAAATCAGATGGGCAATCAAAGAACTAGATATCATGAATTCATTTGAAAGATCGCAGTGGACCTCTTAGGCACCTTGTAGCTACGTCATCTGAATAAAAGCATCTTGAGCATTTTTTTCTTCGATTTTTTTCCTATTTTAACCCTTACTGGAAAGAAAAAAACACATTAGATCCAGAGTCCGGACTCTTAAAAACATCGACAGGAAAAAGTATGCAATCAGAATCTAGCTTAAATCAAGAACTAAGCCTCTTAATTTAAGCGGATCTCGTTTTGATTCAAGCAAAAATCCGATTGAATCAAGAGTATTTTTTCTTATCAATGTTTTCAAGAGTTAAGACTCTAGATCCAATGTGATTATTTTCCAGTGCTCTATGCCATGAGTTAATTTTTGATCTCAGATTCTGGGGGACACTAATCTATTTTGTATCTTGAATGAAAAACATGCGGTACAGTGTTCGAAATTCACAGAGCGCCAACGCGCCGAATGCGCCTAAGAAATCGGTCATGGCGCCTGAAAAATGAAGGCTCTGAGCCAACATGGCGCCTAAAAAATTACCCCCTCCCCCCTAAAAAACCCCTAATTTTGCTGTGTGGTGATTTTTCGAAATTTCCCCCAAGTTACATAGCTACTAGTTCTGCGGCTGAAACATCTTGCGTCTAACTTTTCACTAAATGCGCTGTGATTTATAGGCAAGAAGTGAATTTGGCCCCTAAAAAATCTTCAATGGCCACTGAAAATCAAGCATGATGCGCTACATGGCTCCTGAAGCTCGAAGGTGAGTTCCGGAAATCATTCCGGAATTCAAAACTTGTCTTACGTTATTACGTAATGTCTATATTTGAAAATCAAAATACTAGAATGAGGTCTGCCGGACAAGAAAAAACGCGGTAAGTCGTTGCCGAATTTCTCCTAGCCAATCACTAATTTTCAGGAACATTTTTGAGTATTTGTCTATCAATTTCTCAGATAATTTTGTTTATAGTTTGACCTACAACTTCCGAAAATTTCAAGGAAAAATATTTATAACTTTCTTCAAAAATAACCATTTTATCGAGGGAAATTTGGCAACTCTCGAATGTTCATACGGCGTTCTTCCTTAGCACGGCAGAGGTGACCGTAGCCGTTGCTGCAATGCGTTGATAAACGACCTCGATAAGATTTGTTGCACCAAAAGTCGTCGCTCTTCTGACGTAAGGGTGTATCTCATTTTCCATATGAGTCCTGTTCCACATTTAAATCCATGCTATCTGGGGCTCATCCAGAAATCAAGGTACGCCCTTACGTCAGGGGAGCGACGAAGTGTCGGAAAAATGAGCTACTAGCATTATTGTGAGGCTTAGTCCCTCTACTTTTTTGTGCTGCTTTCAACCGTATAGTCTTAGCTTTCAGAAATGGTCGTCATGCTCAGAGTTTTGTTTCCATACTTTCTTTGCGGTGTTATATTCTATTCAATCTACTATTGGTAGTCAGTGATTGAAGTTGCTGGTTATGACAACTCTAATTTTACAGGACTACCCTATCTCTTGATTATCTCTACTCTTATTTTAACACCCTAGTTTTAGAACTTTTAATGTTGGTCACGAAAGTTATCGATTTAAAACATTTCCACAATGAAATTACCTTTAAGCATTTTGTTTGGTTCTTTACTCGATGAACGCAGCAGCACTGTATATTTTTGCTAACGGTCTTCTCGTACGTGCTCACGGAAAAGTAGGTATGATGTTGATTCGACATCCTCCAGCAGTGGTGAGGCGTGCTTCGCGACATATCGATTTTTATGCCATTTAAACCTATGGAAAAGGATCGATAAACAGGGTGTTCGCAGCGAACACCTTAATAATCAATTCTTTACCATAGGTTTAATGGCAGAACAATCGATACATCGCAATTCACGCCACGCCACTGTCCTCCAGATCTCTGCGTTAACTCTCAAATTTAGTCAAGTTCAAACGCTCCGCCTGGTGATTTTAAGTTGGAGGAATGATATATTAATAACCAGAAGGTTCAAATCAACAATATTGAGAGTTGTTTTGCAGTTTTTTAATATCATGGGATTTAATTCATCCTCTTTTCCCATGCTGTTAACCAAAATCTAATGCTTCAGCACACAGAATGATTTTGAAATAATGAAATCTCGAGTAATTGGACAAGGAAATGTAATGAATACAATGGTTTTCAAGATGTTTAAGCACACGAAGAAAGCTTATAATGTCATTTGATACTTTCAAATCATTTGTTTTAAACTTTGTACACCACAACAAAACAATTGTAAGGTTGTAAAACCGTTATTTTCAATTGTACGAAAAATAAAATTATAAATAAAAAATAAAAACAGAACACGATGAACAATATTTTAAGGTGTGAACAGAATATATACACGTGTTTATAAAAATACATTCATAACTGTTAGTTCATGAGTTTTTATTTTCATAAATTATTTCATACCACTTTTGACTTCCGCTTCGCTGATTCTAACACTAGAGGATGAAAGACACTGTACTTCCTGGAATTTAATTCCAACTTTACCCGTGAATAAACGTAAATATGAGAATGCTGAATTTAAACTTGGAAAAAAAAAATTCACCTCGTGAGAAAATATTTTTCGTTAATATTTCTTTCTATCTTCCAGAATATAAAATGCTATATGTAGTATATAATTAAATCCACGACCAGGATTGCCGTTGAGATTGACTGATCTCTTTTGATTTACGGTGTATGTAAGTACATGTATGACCTCCGCAGGTTAGCACACCATTTGAAAGCGGCATGGCTGCGTAAATACTTTAAGCACTCAAATCTGTACTAGTTTTGTTCTCATTTCTTCACCACCAAAATATCAATTAATTATAATAAAGTATTCATAATCACGATTCCTGAGTTCAATCACGCATTTCAGAATGCGTCTGTTATACAATTACTATGACGTTATCTTTACTGAGGACTTGGGAGCCTTGCAATAACGTTACAATAGTCTTAGAAAAAATAATATTGTTACAAATCCAGGGTGGGTCTGTTACTTGGTTTTTAAATGTGTTTATTCCCCCCCCCCCCAAAAAAAAAAAAACAGAAAATTGCAAGCAACAGACCTAATTCATTTCAATTTTTATCACTTGCGGATGGCCCTTTTTTCCAATACACTATCATGAGGATTTGACAAAAAGCTGCAAGAATATTGCAACAAAATTGCAATCAAGTTGCAACTTTTTCGTTGCCAAATTCTTCCTGAAGAATGTCAACCCTACGTTGGATCTTTTTAGAATCGTTGGCATAGAGGAGAAAGTATCGGTAATCATAGGTGAGGTGCTTTGATTGACCATGCTTTGATTGACCTGCTTTTTGGGACATCAGTGACTATCTGTTTTTCAGCAAATACATAGTTGATGAAAAGGACTCCTCTCTACACGGAAAACAAGAAGGAAAAATAAGATATTTATAACAACAATAACGATTTAATTCGTATAATACCTAACGAGTATTTAGTATCTTATAAAAAGCGCTTGCATAGAAATATCAACTTAAAATAAAAATCTCATAAATGATCAACGAACACTTAATTATTTTAGTCAAACTTAATTAGAGTAGACAGGAGAGAACACATAGACTGAGACAAATTCGCCTCAATGAGCATCTACATACTTGTATAAGTACATTGCATACATACAGAAGCAAGAAATAATTTATGCAACTCAACATGCCGGCGGTCTGAAATATATAAAACACACGACCAATGAGACTGCAAATTAAATGAAGTTCAACTTTGATCTTACAGCAAGGTTACTTGTCCTGACTTTCATCTCACGGCCAAGTCCTTTAAGTAAAAGTTGTGTGTGTCTTTCAGTTGTGCGGTCAATTTTAATTCAAATACACACACTAAACCTACCTAGAGACATGATTGAACATTTAACTTTCCGGTGGTTTATGAATAGTTTTTAACTTTCAAAACTAATATGATGTTTTTAGTTTTTATACTGTCCGCGGAGAAGATCAATAATGCTCAGACGGTGATTTAGCTTAATTTTTGAGAAACTTTGAGAAAATATCAGATATCAAATATGACAAAAATTGCAAAAAGAAAAATTAATACAATAGTGTTTCTACCCCGCAAGGGGCTGCGAGAAAGCAAAAATCTTGAATCAGAATTTAAATATAGAAGTAAGAATTCTTTGATCGTTCCTTGCGACCTCTACTACCTCAAACTACGACAGAAGATCCACCATTTTGATTCTTACATGCAATTTCAATACTAAACTAACACCCTGAGATCTTCATTCACACTTTAAAAGTCCGTAGACTTATTTGGCGTCAACTCTACCCCGTTACACCAGAATAAGTAATTTAATAGTTGAGGGAAGACGCAACTTGAAAAACACTGTGGAATTGCACCATATCGACACTTCAATTCTCATAATGTCCGTAAGAAAAGAAGTTCTCCGGATCGAGAGTTTTGGCTGACCACTTGTTTGTGCGAATATCTCATTTACAAAGTAGAGCTGTAATGATGATTCAGTGCAGTAAATTCATTGCTTGTGAGGTAGTGAAGTGAGTCAAAATAATTGGTATTTTTCTCTTCAATGCTACCGTGGTAAGGAAAAACGCCGTATGAGCCTTTAGACGTTGCCAGATTCCCTTCACTAAAAACCAAATTTACAGGAAACATTTTAAACATTTTTTCCGAATTTTTTAGATACTTTTATCGCAATTCGATTCAACATATCTGAACATTCCACGGAAACTTATGCATAAAGTTCCTCAAAAATACATGTTTTATCCGGAGGAATAAGGCAACTCTCGAATGTTCATACGGCGTTTTTCCTGGCAAGGCAGAATAGATGGCGCCCTAAAAATTTTTTGCTTAACACGTACATCACCAATTTGATCTCAAAGGAGGAGAAGAAAAAAATGAAAATAGAGAGAGAAAGAGAGAGAAAACATGAAGATGACATGACGAATGTAATACAGAGGCGAACTTTGCACCTTTTTGATTCAACGAGTCTTGGCATGTGACGAACTTGACAACAGATTACACCACGAGAAATGTGCGTTGTAAATCCTTTGAGCGCGCGGTAAAACGACGCATTTTAAAGCCCTGGAGCAGAAGCTCAACCGGGGGATTAGAAAAAAATCTAGTCCCTTTGAAATTACCCTCGACCTCAAACTTGATTTTTCTCGGCGAGAGAGAAAGTATTTGGAATGATGAACCAGGTAGGCAGTGGGAGATGGAAAACAGAGATTAGTCGTAACTTTCGGACTCCTGCTGCACGAGTTTGAATCGGCGAGGACTCTTGACGGCGATGTTTCCGAAGTTTTCGTTGATGACCCGTCCTTTCTTCTTCAGGAATTTCTTGATATAGCTAGAAACTAGTTTCTGGGGTCGCTGCTGCCACTCGTCCAGCACTTCCTTCGGATAATTTATCTGCAACACACAAGACAACATCCTGTCACAATGTTACAGATAAAAGATACAGCCAAAAAAAAATACACGCAAAAAATAAAGGCACACTGTATTTGTTAACTTTTAGATGACCTGCAGCTCCGAAAAGTTACGAAGAATCAACATGAATGTGCTTTANAAGAGCACACTGTATTTGTTAACATTTAGATGACCTGTGGCTCCGAAAAGTTACACGTCTATGGATTGTACGTTCTTTTAACAGCTCCTTTCCGTCCCAAGTTGCACGGATTGCAATAAGTAATAATCACGTTGTAAAAATATTGTAATTCCACTGAGTGTTGTGTATGTTGCCTAGCTCTCATTTAAAGGGGACCCATTAATTGAAACTTATTGCAATAAAATTGAAATAAGTTGCAATTTTTCATCGCATTGCATATTGCCTATCTTTTTGACACATTGAGCTAATTTTGCTGCAGGGCCGGATTTAGGGGGTAGCCACATGGGCCGCGGCCCATGGCGGCAATTTTAGGGGGCGGCAAATTTTGCAATTTTTTAAATGTAAATATTAAAAAAAATTGGATTCAGAAAAAAAATTACAAGCAAGAAAAGGCGAAAACATCTCTCATTTCCAGAGAGGAAAATAAATTCTAATTTTGTCGTCTTCCAGTGATACAAGAGACAGAACCTTTAATTAGTCTAGTCTGGAACGACGCATCGCAGAGAGCAATGATGGCGACGACTTGAGATGAAAAGGAGAAGCCCTCGGCGCAGCGGTCGGCATTTAACACACATCAGCGCCTACAAAACTGCATGAATACTTCACGCATTCCGTCAAACACAATGCGGTCAGCAGCGGTCGACGTGAAACGCATAGCGCCTACAAGACTGCATGAATACTTCACGCATTGCGTCAAACACAGCGCGGTCAGCAGCGGTCGACGTGAAACGCATAGCGCCTACAAGACTGCATGAATACTTCACGCATTGCATCAAACACAGTGCAGTCAGCGCGGCGCGGTGGCAGAAGTTAAAATCATTAAACCACATTTATGTTTGTTCTTTCATAATTTTTTTGTTCATTTCTTATAAATGGAAGGCCTTGTCCACACATAGATAGGTTCACGAAACGTAACTTTCGCGCTAAGTTCCGTGAAATTTTGCTAGTAGTGTTGACAGAGTTTTCGTAAAAAAATGTTTCCAACGCTAGTAAACGCATCTTATGCACCCCTCCCCCTCCGGCACTTCATTTGATAGTTTTTATTGATGCTTCAAAACGAATGAGACGGGTTTTTCGAACTAAGATTATCAATGGCTTGAATTGATCGAAAGGGCAATTACAACACTGAAAAGACAATTGAAAATTACATCATTATTGTCTTTATCATTTTTTCTCTTGTGATAGACCAGTTCACCAGAAAAAACCCCCAGGGTTGAGAAAATAATTCCATGTAAAAATTATTGATTTCGGACAAGTTTGGGAGGAACCATTTCGTAACATAGTTGATCGGCAGCAGGAAAAATGAAAGAAAGAAGAGTTCTATTTTTTGATTGCCTTTTGAGTATTATCATAAGTTTTATGAACCTGGGGCATTTTTCAGTGCAAGAAAAAATACCAGAATAATTCAGCCACTTTTTATGCAACTTCAAAACCAACACCATAACTTGCACGGAATGAGACGGTTGGGGTATGCATGAGCTGTGAAAGAAAATACAAATCCTCACAAGTCAGAACCAACTTCCTGTTTTCACCGTATTTTCCTTGTGCAGGGAGATTTCCTTTGAACAGGTAGATCACACCTATACAGCTGCGGGTTCTTGTCCTTTTTCAGGGAAGGGTATTTTTCTAACATGTTTTATGGGGCCCAAAACTACGAACTTTGATCTATTAGCACTCAAAAAATGTCAAGTCCCTATCCACATTTTTAAAAAAATTACAGAGTTGGTGGCTTTAGATGGCGGTCCGGGACTTTCGAATCACCCTATATGTTTTCCTAATTTTTCAACGGTTTTCCTGGAGTCTCAGCCGTAAGAGCCGTTTCCTCGGGGAAAACAATTTTCATTAAGATAATGTAATCTCAAGAATACTCGCCAGCGACATGTAGCTCCCCGCCCCAGGAAATATTTTTCTCCCAGTGTTTGGTCTAAATTCAAGTCTTAACTTTGCAGAGTAGATGAAAAACTGCAAACTGCTTGACAAAGGTCATTATTATGCAGGTATTTGAACTATCCTCGGCAAAGGGGGTAGTAAAGCTCACGGAATTGATAATAAGTTTACCCTTTGAGGGCAAGCCTCCGGATAAGCGATAATAGACGAAGGAATTATTTATGTCCTTTTACTACCCCAAGAGGCCTCGCTTATGTAGGGCCATAATTGTCAGGTCTCCCGCGGTAATCGCCGATTTCATTACATGTTCCTGAATCACAACACCCGACAAAAAATGTTGCAAAAGCGCACGAAACTCCGCATACCGGAATAAAAAAGTTGTAGGAGTTAAGTGCACAATACTATTAATGTGTGTACTTGACCTGTATACACTGAAAGCTTTTCGGAGGGTGCTTAGTTCCTTACTTGTCATTTCTCACGTCATAAAAAGTACATCGAAGTGCCCTCGGGGGAAGGGGGGGGGGGGTTAGTGGCTAGGGCGTTTAACCCCTGAACTTGTATGCACGACCATAGACAATATACTTTAAATACCCCGTGCTAACAAACTGAAAAACGTAAACGAGTGAGGCAAAAATTAAAATCAGAGGTCAAGGCTATGTTTAGTTGATTAGCAACTTGTTGAAAAAGGAATTGCATATAATCGCCTGATGATGACTGATGATCGTTGGGGTGAGCACTTTGCTAGGCGAGCTCTTAGGTTTGGATTGCTACACCAGTTGCTCAACTCTTCGGACATTATTTGGACTGCATTTTGCAATTAAGAACTAAAAATTCCGGCCCGGTTTAAAAACAACGCGTGTGCTATTAGTTTTCCTATGCACATACGCGTTTTTTTCAGATGAGCCAGAATTTGTAGTTCCAAATTGCAAAATGCAGTCCATTTGTCAGCGTTAGGCGAATCTGAGCTTCAGCTTCCGAAAATAACTTTTACATGATATGACAGAGATAACATGAGATAACAGTGTGGGGTGACTAAAGTACTGTGCCGCTGTAAACGACGAAAATTCCAACCAGCGTTTAATAAAATAGCCGACATAAAAATAAAATACGGGATATTATTAAACTCCGTGACTGATATCTTTAGAAAGGTTGAAAAAAGCAACGTTCAACGCACGGGTTATGGTTAATAAGGAACGACCCAGAGGTTTCATTTATCCATTCATTAAAAATTAATCTGCTCTCTCTCGTTCCTACGGTTCAAGCACACGTCATTTTGCGAAAAATTCCTCATGTACTCTGCCGTATTTAGGAAAAACGTCATATCGTTGCTTGGATGGCATGAGAGCGTAACTACACTTCGAGATGAACCCGGGAAAGCATTTAGTTTTATAAACGACAGGGGTCATCATGCAGCGAGGCGTGAATGATCGATTATCAATTTTTCCCCGTTTGAATCCGTGGAAAAAAATCGATTAATCAAGTGTTCGTTGCGAACACCTTGTCTATCGATCTTTTTTCCATAGGGTTAAATGGCCGATCAATCGATACATCGCAAAGCAGGCCGCGCTACTGGTAGTTACGTCATATCTCAGGAAGGCAATGGTATGTTGAAACATTGCCCAATTTGTTCCGATAAAATATTCATTTGCGAGAATACTAAGAAATATTTTGTCTAGAAATTTTTGCAGGCTCTCGACTATATTTTAAAAATCACTGTATTATTCAAATGAAAAAAGTTAATCATTTTCTGGAAAAATCGTATTTTATCGGAGGAAATTTGGCATCGCCCGAATGTCCATACTGCCGTGCTTAGGAAGAACGCCGTATGAACATTCGAGAGTTGTCAAATTTCCCTAGATATAATGTTCATTTTTGAGGAAAGCTCTGAATATTTTTCCTTGAAATTTTCAGGAACTATAAGCGAAATTGTGAACAACATTATCTGAAAAATTGGAAAAAACAGTTACATAAGTTTACCGGGATACTCGTGTTTTATCAATTGAAATTTGGCAACGCTTGAAGGTTTATACGGCGTTTTTCCTTACACAGAAAAAAATAGATGGTGCTGACGACAGAACCTTTTCTTCACACGGCTCCCGCAGTTTCTTTGTTACAGTCACTGAAGCTTCCGATGAGGACAGAATACTCTATTCCCACGACCGAAGTTCTGTCCTCACAACAGAAAAATTCTGTAAGTGTAACAAAGAAACTGCGGGAGCCGTGTGAACAAAAGGTTCTGTCGTCAGCACCATCTATTTTTTTCTGTGTAGCACGGCAGCAAACAACGTTTTTCCTTATCACGGCAATACTCGCTGGTCTAGCCTAGGGAGGAAACCCGTATCCAGTCTCCCTTGTGAAGATTTTACGATCTCTTTCTGTCAAACGCTCGGGGCCGTAAAAGGGCTTTAGAAGCATCTGAAATGAAAATTGGAAAAACAGGACTCGTCCTGGGCATTCAGCGGAACGAGCCGCTCCCGGCAGTCAATTTTATAGGCTCACAAATCGGTGAAATTGCTCTTTTTTTCTCGTGGACGCGGAAAAACTGGAATTACTGAAATTGTTTTCCCCCTTTGGCGCACGGTGGATCGAGTCATTAAGAGAGGTCGGACACGAAATTTTTCAGTAAAACCGCAAATTTTGTTGTTTCTTTCGTCAACTTTTACACTGGACCACTAGACAAGGCACGAATTTAAACAAACTGATACATGTCGACGGTGAAAGTCGGCAATCACATAACTCGGTTTGCGACGTCGCAGAATTCCTGTCATACTTTACTTTTTAAACGGAAAATTACTCAACGGTAATTCTTTAAAACTTCCATGATTATTCTTCTATGTGCGAAGAAAATTCTGCAAAAACTTCAAGGAATCATGTTCATTTGTTCTCCTTTAAAAAAATAACATAGTTGCGGAGATTTTCAGACACCGCAAACGAGTTATGTGATTGCCGACTTGCACCGTCGATGTTTCTTAACAAGAATTTCACGTAGAACACGATCGCGCGATGAAAATTACTGAAACCATCTCCTAACGAGGATATTAACGTTTTTATTACACACTGGTTACGAGGAGTTTGAACGGCCAGCTCACAAGAAACTCAAAGCTCTACGTGAGTCAAATCGCGCACTACAACGGTTTCAGCTAGCTTCTCAATCGAGCAATGTTCATTTCCCACCATGTATTGTTCAAACTGTAAGCAATTTTCTATAGACTCTATTAGTGCCACGTCACAGTCGGTATCGATTGTATCGAACTGGATCCAAACAATCAAACATAACCTTACTATTCAATATGAAACTAAAGAATTTCAGAGATAATTCGCCCAGTTTGAGAAAAAAGTTGTGTTAGAGACAGCTCTTTTAATCGCGGAACGTTCCCGCATTGTTAAGTTGACGGGATAATGCAGTTTCAGAAAGGTGAAAATACCCACAAGGGCCACCATGATTTAGGCCACTCCAGTTTCTTGGCTTTTGACAGTGAAATTCTGGGAGGGAGGTGTCAAGATGAAGTTATGTTTGATTGTTTGGATCCAGTTCGATACAATCTCGATACCGACTGTGACGTGGCACTAATAGCGTCTATAGCTGAGCTAAAGCGTCAAGATTGAGGTTGCCAGATTTGTAATTCGTACAGAGACTGTCAAGAAAACGTTTAGCGCGCGATGTAGATCACGTAGAGCATTGAGTTTTCATGAGCGGGTGGTTTGAATTCACGCATCAAAAATCATTAATTATCTTCGCAAGGAGTTGATTTTGGTAATTTTTGTTGTGCGTATTGTGTTTTACGTGAAATTTTGATTCAGAAACATGTATCATAATGCTGAAATTCGTACCTTGTCTAGTCGTCCATTAAAGGGATGCGTCTTGTAGAATATTTCACGAGGAAACCAATGGAACCCATTCCAGAACCTCAAAGTTTTGTATAAGCGGAGTTAAAAGCGTTTAAAGTCTCCAAATTTTGTGCGACCTCTCCTATTGGCTCGATCCACTGTGCGGCGTACCTCAACATGACACCGACTTAGTTCAGTAATGATGGCGCTTCGATCTCATTGGAAAAGGAAACTAGTTCAAAGACGTATTTGTAGGACGATACGAAATTCTCGTTGAGTTAAAGATATTTTTTCTGAGGTGAAAAATGTTCTTCAATCAAAAAATGTTACATTTTTCATTTGACAACACGCGAATGGCACAGTTACATTGCTTTGAAATTTAAAAAAACAACAACATTAGAATGGATAAAATTTCTTTCGTTAAAAAAATCTATAAATAAGAAAAATCTCGACCCGGCCAACTTTTTTGAAATGAAAGAGAACTTCGTTACAATTATAAGAAAAATATTTTTCATCAACATCCTAATAATCGATCCTTTTCCTGGTGCTATATTTAACTCCATCTCCCACTTTCGGTCAACGTATGTAGTAAGGCACAAACCAACCAATCAATTTAGCGTTGATTCTGGGGCAGTTTCAGTTGGATTCGGAACATAAACAATGAATTAACCGGGAAACTGTCGAATCAACCAATAGCTTCGAGCTTTTTTCCCCGAATTGCCCGAACTTTTGATTACTTTTTCTCTCACTGCAGGTGACTCGTCGATTCATTTTGCATTCTTTTATTCAGATTTCCCGTAGAGTCCTCGGACACTTTGATCCAAAAACCTCCTTCAACCTCACCTGATCTCCCTTGAGTCGATCCAATAGCGTGACGCAAACAACAGCAGATCTAATCCCAGCATGGTGTGTGAGAGCGGTGAACGCCAGAGATTCCATTTCTATGTTTACAACCCCTTCGTCCCTCAGATGCTCCAGATACGCCATCTTTTCTTTCTCATTGAAGCAACAGAACGCACCGTCCATCCTTCCTTGACCTGAAGCAGGAAAATAAAATCTTTAAGGAAAAATGGCTCATTTTTTTTCTCTTTTTTGTAAAGGGCGAGAAACAAGGAGTGGAGAAATGATAAATTTTAAGAGCAGAAAAAAACTGCTGTGTAAAACATGCATCCTTTAATTAATGAGTATTGACTTCAATACTTGGGGGGGGGGGGGGGTATAAAACCGAAAAGCGCAGGATTACCCCCTACCCCTCTCACCCGTAGTATTTGAAAAGTACAAACATGAGAATAAATAATATATAAGTTCTCGAATAAAACTTTGAGACGTTGCAATGTATGAACTCCCTTTGATTCACACCCCTTAATTTGTCATGATTTTTAACATTAAAATAATTGAGAGGATATGGTGATACGTGAAAATATTTTCAAAATCACAAATTAACGGGTAAAAGCAGCCATGAGATGAGTTTCAAATGTCATTATTATCAGATTACCAACGCGACCATAGATGTCATACATTGCTGGTCAAAAATATCGAATCCACAAGAAATATTGTGCAAACATTCAAAGATAAACATTATTAAAAGTTGCTGATGGAAAAACTTTCACTTCATGGTTTCGTTTAATTCAGGGCGATACTGTGAAGTTATGATTGATTTTCCCTCACGTTAAAGCAGGGTGTGTGTGTTTCGACCAAACAGCGCTCATAACAGCAATATCAAGTTCTGCATGAGGCTTACAAAATTTCTCTGAAAAAATTAAAATGGCGGTGGAAATTTTGAAACGTAGCATGGCACTTGTGATACTTTAGCTGGAAAAATCTCGAAATCTCGCCCTGTCAGAATTTTAAACGAATCGTGACTGCAGCGCAGGTGCGGCTAAAAAATCAAATTTCCTCCGAATCAGTTAACTTACCCTCATAGAAATCCGTCGTGCACATTGTCTTTCCAGATATTGTTGGATAGGGGTCATTCGGATCCGCTAATAATTTCAAATCCCTCATAAGCCTTTTGTCTACTTTTGCCGGTCGTTTGACAACTTTCCCTAAAATTGGCTGCATTAAGAGAAACAGAAAATCAAATAAAAGTTCGATAAAATTGTAAAACAAAAAAGTACTTACAAACATTTTAGAAAGACTAAAGAAATACTTTAAATGAAATGCAAAGAAATATTTTCCTCTGAATAGCGTTTTTCGTCATTGCAGTAATAGCCTCTTACATCTGTGTGCCCGCTTTTATTTGAATTAGACCTTTTCCCCCCTTTTTTTTTAATATTGAAGTTTGATTTAAGTGCAACGTAATTACTACAGAATAGTTCTTTTATTAATCAAATACAGAGTTTTATTATCTAACGTTTCTCTCGTGTGAGTTTTAAGATATAAAGTTGGTTTTCTCCTAGAAGGAAAAAAAACAGCGGAAATGTTAAAATACCGCGTAATGGGGATATATAAGTAGTTTTGCACTTTGGCCTTAGATTTATTCTGAATGCTCAAATAGGACTTAAATTGACCGGATGTTGAGGTTGACGGACTCATTGCAATTTTCTCTAACGAGCTGGAGATGACCTTAGCTCCGATAACTGCTACTTGTCTAACAAAATGCAGCAATTTGTTCTAATTGACTTACTCTAACATTTTTAGGTCGAAGAGGTTACACATGATAAAATGACTCCCGTAAAAAATGACTACAAATCTTAGAGCGAAAAATAAGAGGTGGTCCAAAAGTTTCGCACCATCCGCACTGTACTGCCGTGCTAAGGAAGAACGCCGTATGAGCCTTTAGACGTTGCCAAGTTTCTTCCGACAAAAATTAAAATTACTGGGAAAATTGGGAATATAATTTTCCGAAATTTTCAGATAATTTTTTATGTAATTTAATTTAAAATATCCGAAAATTTCAAGGATAAATATGCATGAATATTTGTCAACAATACATGTTTTATAAAGGGAAATTTGGCAAATTTCGAATGTTCATACGGCGTTCTTCCTTAGCATGGTAGTCTGCATCACACCTGTAACTTTTAAATAAATCGAGGTAGAGACTTGAAATTTTGTGAGCATTTCTGGGTTAAAGACAGAGACAAGAGACCCTCCACTGGCCTCCTAGAGACAGGTGGAAGCTTTTACTTTCGGGGTTTCAACAATTCCTTATGCACAATTACTGGGGAGCAACAGTTATCACCCTAGTTTCGGCTGTTGACTTACCTACATGGTCGATGATGAGCTTCGGATGACGTAATGAGCCAAACAACTTTCCCAAACGTCGGCCATTTTCGGCTTGTTTGCAAAACGATACTGCCAACCCGTTGTTGAACATGATGAACCATGTATAGGTAAGTCAACAGTAGAATACTGAAGTCCCGAAAGTAATAAAAGCTTCCACAATGGCTAAGATACTAGTGGAGGGTCTCTTGTCTCTGGTTAAAGAGAACATCTTTTGAGAACCCTCAGAATTTTAAAAGATTCACTTTTAAAAGAGGCAATTTTAAAGGGGAAAGAACCCTATAGGTTAAGGGGATGGCGCGGGACTTTCGAATGACGCTGTAGAGTATTACCAAGTCGAAGGAGGGTTGTCCCAGTCCATCGACTGCTTCCTCCGAGATGACGACGGTGCCGCCGTCCACTCCTATTCCACCGCACGTCCCTATCCGGAAAAATATAGGGTTCCTCACTTTGGCGTGGTACATCAGCTTTATGATCTCGTGCAGTAGGATTCCGACCGATGGTATGCCCATTCCGTGCTGCAAAACGAAAGTAATGATGACAAATTTTAGCGATTGACATTTTATTTTTCTTCTTTTTTTCTTTTTTTTTCTTTAAAAACAAATATGATAGGCCCCGGAAAAATGTGCCATAACTAGGAAACAAACATGGAGAAAAAAAGGAGGTGTTTGCATCTTGAGGTTTGTTTACCCTGTGACGTAGGTCGGTATCACCTGGCCAGCGAAATCCGGAATTTGAAGTATGGAGAACGAACCATAATGTCCCATTTTTTTGCTTAAATCAACTCGTGATATAATTTCAAGCACTTTTTATGGAATGACTTTTTTCCATAAATTACACCATTTCCGAGAAAATTGATGATAAAAGTCGCTGTGCCGACCTACGTCATCAAAAAAATCCAAGATGCCCATAATGCAAACACCTCCTTTTTTTTCTCTATGGGAAACAAACCTCAAAGTATTGAGTGCAGCAAACAAATAGATTATAACAACAGGTCCAGAAACTATAGGTCGAGGATCGATACCAATAGGTCAAAGACCGATTTATCGAATATTTCATTGATATTTTCAAGAAAATATCAATGACGTTTTCTGATTGGTCAAGGTTATAGGACATTTCGTCAACGATTTTTTGTCCGCGCAGTTTGTCCTGTTTTTTCCAGTAATTTACGTCCACGCGTTTTTTCGGCACGGGAGTTTTGGTCCACGTGCCAGTTGAGACCCAAAGTTAATTGACCCACATGTAAATACAAACGACAATTGCTCACGACGTTTTTGGATGAAAATGTATAATGTCTTGGAAGAATGAGGGTTTGCTTGTTTTTTTTTGTTTTGTCTGATTGGTCCAACGGAGAATATATATAGTTGTGAGTTTTGGCAAAAATGGGGAAGCGTCAATTCCATGAGACAAAATTCACTAAAACTCTCTACGCCTCTGTGGTGTAACAGGGCTTAATTATCTTTCAAGAAATTCCCACCTTGTTATACCTGAACCGGATAAACTTCTATATTTGCCTGAGCTAAAGGCTCTTAAATTTTTCCTATGTGTACGACAGTGGCGTGGCGTGCTTTGCGATGTATCGATTGATCTGCCATTTAAATCTGTAGAAGAAGATCGAGTATCAAGGTGTTCGCAGCGAACACCTTGATAATCGATTCTTTGCTACAGTTTCAAATGGACAAATATCGATAATCGATCCTTCACGCCACGCCACTGGTGTACGATAAGTAAATTGATTTATTTTGCGAGGAAAGATCTGTACTTTTAAAGGATGCCTGTCATTCTTAATACGTTCAATTTCGTATATTACTGTGCAACACCTCCGTTGTGAAATAGTTGCTTCGGGCGTCGCCGCACGGCGCGTCGGGCGAGCGGGCGGTCAGCGCGAAACTCATTGGCGCCTACAAACCTAAGTGGATACTTCAAGCATTGTGCAATGCGAGAAGTATCCACTTAGGTTTGTAGGCGCCAGTGAGTCTCTCGCGCTGGTAGCACGCCGCTCCGCTCTGTTATGCTTTACTATTTATACTCGCATAGTCAGCGTTTTTCAACTCATGATTTTGAAATGTTTGCACACTCAGCATTGATTATTCTCATTTAAATTGATGGGGAAAAAATATGTATCAATTTATCAAAGAAGAATAATAATATAATGTGTGTTTTTTAAATATTGGTGGTCCCGTGTCAACTTTAATGATTTCCAAGGCACTTTAATTTTTTCTTTTACATTATTTTTTGCTTTTTTGTGCTGCAACGAGGTGTGCGCGCAACCAAAGGCTCAAAATTTGACGTATTTGACTCTAAAAGATCAATGTACAAATGGGTTAAAACTAAAGATTGCGTGCTTCTTGGTTTTTTCCCCTCTTTTCTTCATTTTTGCAGTTTCTGTCGGCACAACTGCGGCTCATTGAGATTAATGTCGCTTGGAAAAGGTTTTACAAATATTTGTCAAATTTTAAAAATATAAATTTTTCAAAATGAAGTAATAATTTCGTAAGGAAAAAATTAAAAAAATAAAAAAAGTACCGATACATATTGATACAAAAGGCAATATTTTACGGACGAAAATACTTGAAGATTCAGCATACTCACACTAACTGATAAAATAGGGCCAACTTTGTACATGGCGTAACGGTATGAGTACTGACTAATGTCGACCAGCGTCGTCCCGGTGGGTAGTTTGTGGCCAATTTCGTGCATCATGTATTGAGCGAACTGTTCCGCCCGTTTTGGTGTCCCGCCCATGCAGACAAACTGAAAGAAGAAAACGCATAGCTTAATTGAACTGCATTTTGCAATTTGGAGCTATAAATTCTGGCTATAATTTCAGAAAATGTTATCAGTGTCATCAAGCAAATTCCTGAAAATTTTCAAAAGCATAATCTATAACAGTTCTGTAATGAAGTAAATTGTCCACAGCAATTTTGTAACAGCTGTTGTGACTTAACTCTCTGGTAAATGCAATCCACTTATTGTGCTTTGAGAAATGGAAGTGTCATACATTTTTGAACTAAGAGCGAGAGTTAAAAATGATGAAATGTCCCAATCCTCACAGGGGTGTTAATTGGACTGCGTTTTTCAATTTGGAACTATAAATTCTGGCTCTTCTGGAAAAACACTTATATGCATAGGGAAACTAACGTCACATACGTTGTTTTTAACCCGGGCTAAAATTTATAGTTCCAATTTGCAAAATGCAATCCAATTAATCTATTTCTCGCCAAAATGCCAACCACCCGGAGCATTTTGCGTTTCAAGCGAGAAATCTTCATTTGAATTTGACGTCTTTTTCCCGTGTATTTCTTGTGAACCAATGATTCTCGACCAACTTCCCGCCCTCTTTCTACCAAAATTTGAAGTAGTTTTGAGCAAAAAATTTGAAAATGAACCATCATTGCGAGTCAAAAATATCTTTAAGATGACAATCTAAAAAAAAAAAAAAAAAAAAAAANAAAAAAAAAAAAAAAAAAAAAAAATTGAGACGTCGAGGTATGATTTTTTTATTTATGCCCACAGAAGACCGCCTTGTGCGGCGGTTCCTCAGAATTAAAAGATTACAAGGGTCACTCTCTTGGGAGAGATTAGAGAATAAAAGTTCGAAAAGCTGCCGGAAAACTTTCGAGAGCGAATCTTGAAAGTTTCGGATTTTTGGTATCATCTGGACATCAACAGCTTTCGTTTTCAACAAAAATCAAGATAATCGGCCCAGTGGTTATTCAGAATTAAGGATCACAAGATTTCGACTCTTACAGATTTATTCATGTAAGATTTCAATGTGGAATTTCATGCTATTATCTTTCATCGAATTTTGCTACCCTGCCTCCTCTCCAGTGGCGAGGCGTGAATAATCGATTATCGATATTTCCCCATTTGAAGCTATGGTAAAGAATCGATCGTCAAGGCGTTCGTTGCGAACACCCTGTTTATCGATCCTTTACAAAGGTTTAAATGACAGACCAATCGATATATCGCAAAGCACACCTCGCCACTGCTCCTTCCCTTCGTAACGTTCTTTTGACCTAGGTCGTCTTCATACGTCCAAGATATTTGTCCTGGAGATGGATTTAAATCAAAGAAGCGGTAAAGTTTTACTTCCCTCATTCGGAGAGGCGCCGGCTAAGATCACGTAAATGTTTTATGTGGGGCATAATTGACTAAGTAGGCAGATTTTAGGTCAACTCGTCAACCTGCGCACAAATAAGGAGAAAATGGGGATAGAGGGGATTTAAAAGGGACGGGATGAAGCGGAGTCGACCCTTCCAAAAATACTGCAGGTCCTTTCTCGTGGATTAAATGAATTTACGGAATCTTTTGATAGCGTTTCCTCATTTACATAATAACCGGTCGAGAGGCAGCTGTTCTGGAGCACGGCTGCACGGCCGCAAATTTTCTGCTGCGTTGTCACTGCCACTAATTTTAAGATACTACCCCTCTTTGTTTCAACGGAAGTTTAGTCACTGATAAACATTTCTAAACTTTCTGTGGCCTTCTCTGTAAACAGAGCGTTGCTCGGACGTAAACTTATGTTAAAGAGACTTCCTGCAATGGGAATATTATGCGGATATACTGTTGTTGCATTACCGCATTCAACTATTACGTTGGATAAAAGAAGTCTTTATATTAACAAGATGCGACAAGCGGCTGAATATATTTTGAACGCTAGCAATTTAATCGGAAGTGAATACAAGAAAAACGCGGTCTACTTAGGACATATGTTTAATGACAGTATTCTTGCAGTTCAACTACTTATTTTGATGTCTACGTTACAACTGCGGAGCGCTCGCGTAATTGGAGTATGCTGCTACTGAAAACGAAAAAGTATGCACCTACATATTTCGAGATCTGTCAAAGTTCATTTGGATCCGGAGTTTGCAGCGAAATACTAAACGAGAATGACACCTAATCATCTGACTTCCGGAGATGCGAGAATAATATTTTTAATGACAATGCAAAGCCGTTGTACTAATTCTCGCAGTCGTGACGTCATAAAAGTCGGAAGTATGAATTATAAATCATGGAACCATACAAAATATGTAGTTACAGTATTTGATTAAGTTCCCGCATTACTCAGAGGTAGGATTGTGTTGTGACGATTGTCATGAATACTTTCGGAGATGCACTGAAAAACAAATCTTGGTGTATTTACTAAGAAAAGGGTAAAATTACCAAGAATTCGGAGTTCTATTTGATCCCAGTTTTTTCTTGGTATAATTACCATTTATGGAATTGGTAATTTCACCTCGGTAAAATTATTGAACTTTCTCGATAATTTTACTGGGCCTTGGTAAAAACGCCAATATTTTTTATCAACTGTGGTAGAACTACCGAGATAAAATGGCAAAGTTACCGAAATTGATTACCAATAAAAGTGGAATTCTTACCTGAAAAAAACAGTAAAAATACCGGTTTTTAGGTAAGCTTACCAGTCTGTCTTGGTAAAATTACCAATAATTGGTAAAAAAAGTGAGATGGTAAAGGTACCAACGGACCTTGGTAAAAACGCCGATAGTTTTTTTTTCAGTGGGGGTAGGATCATGTTGTAACGATTCTCATGAATACTTTCGGAGATGAGAACGAATTTGAAAAAAATAGGCTGAATGATTCGGCAAAAACAAACGCAATGAAAAGATTAAACAAGGCTAAAAATACATATAAAAATGTCTGGGCCGTTCCGCGGTGGATTCAACCCCTTGTCAACCGAGGGTATAAAAATAAAACAAGTTGATCCTAAATCGGCTGAAGCATGTGCATATTTAACGGAAATGTTATTTTCTGAAGGTATAGTAAATATTGAATTGCATTGGAGAATGATACAAAGTAAAATATTGGTTTTGATTCGTATTCTGATAAGAGCGGAAGGGGACCGCAGTGGTATATAAATACCGACCCCAACTGATTACCTCAGTCATAATGCACGCGAAAAGGAACTCATCATAAACGGACGCACGTTTCGCGCGTAGAAAGTTTCACCGAGCAGATTGAATCGTTAAATTGATTGCAGAATACACTGACTGAAATTCAGGTCAAAATCGAAATGCCCTGAACTTTTCAACTTTTGCCCTTTCGTACAGATCCGTCTGGACTCTTTGGAACTTAACGCAGAGAACGAAAAGGCAAATCGATGCCGAGAAAAGTGATGGAAGCTTTTCAAATTATAATATTTCACTTTTCTGCCGCTGTTCATTTTTCAATCGTGTCAGACATCCCTTAAAGCAAGCATCATTACCTCTAAACAGAGTTTACGGTGCGGCGGAGTTGAAAGATGCTTGTCACTAAATTAAGCATTGACTGCACAAAACTGAGAGTGTAAGATTGACGATGCTTCGAATACACCGACTTTTTAAGGAAATATTTTTTACATAAATTACTTTAATTAATGCTCCGTTGATGCGTGGAAAATTAACTTCGTCTCGATTGATTAAATAGAAGGTATGTCAAAAGTGGACGTCGAAAAAACGTGTCAGATGTTTCGAGAAGGAATCCGTGGAGACGAACGTGACGTCTGATGAGTCTTTTCGTCGCTCCTCTGGCGTAAGGGCGTAACTTGATTTCTACGTGACCCCTGTGCTCCGTATAACTCTATGCTTTCTAAGGCTCATGCAAAAATCTAGATACGCCCTTACGTCAGAGGAGCGACGATTTGATTCCACAACTCTCCTCAAATAAGTTTCCTTTCAACTTCAAATTTTATAAATCTACGCACTGATGTCATTTTGTAACTTGCCAAGAAACCGACCGAGGACAATCGGAGGAAAATTCAGAATCGATGGTTTGTAATTATGTCTTGAGAGGTACCTCATTTCCTCCGAAATTGAAAATTGAGTGAATTGTGACATTGCATTGAGCTTTGCCATTAATTTTCCTTGGATGTTTCCATAGCGATTGATTTTTCCTCACCATCTTTGGAAATTGCCCCCTCCCGACTTTTGAATTCTATGCAACATTTGGAATTCAGTATACTTTTCTTTGAACCACTAGAAGAACGAAACGAAAATTATATCCTGCTGAGATTAGCGTAAAGTCTTTCATCCCTGTGTGATGAGTATTTGAATTAATGTTCTGGAAAACGAATCAGGATTACCTTAACGTTGCTTATTTTGTGCAATTCAAACTTTGGAATAAAAGAAAGAAAATTGATGTGGGAATAAAGATGATCGGGCGATCTTTTTGGGGTTGTGCAGTTATAGTTAGCCGTTTTTAGTATTATTTTTTCTGAAAAAAAAGAGGAAACATTGGGCACTCGTTTTTATCCGATGTTTTCGAATTATGCATCCGACTTCCCTTTGTGTTGAAACATCCAGAAATCGGATGTAGAACATCATGAATAATAGAATTATGACCACTTATGATCCCTTGCCACTGACGAAAAGAGAATAGGGATTTATCCACCGTCTAATGTTTTTCAACATATCATCAAATTCGAAAAATTGGAAAAACTTCACACGTATGCATAGATTAAAATTTTGGATGTAATGAATCTATACTAACTTTCAATTTTACGAGAAAATATATTAAGTTTTCCTGATTATTATAATATCTGATGACAGTTAGGATATTGAATAATTTTGAATTATCGTCCATTAATTTTTTTTTTTCGTTTATCCTTTTCATTTGTCTTTTAGAACTAAATGTATTCATATATACATTCTCATATTTGAAGAACTTTTTATACTCTTATTTTTTCGTGAATGGGGGACATAGGCGGATCCAGACACTTTGAAAGGGGAAAAGGGGGTCCGAGGGGCTTTCCACAGAAAATTTTCAAAATCTGAAAGCATTGAACGTGCATTTTGAGCCAATTTCGTTATGAATAATCATCAAACATAAGTGTCCTCCCTTCTTCTTTCCTGCGTTACTTCCTTTTTCCCTTTTTCTTCGGGCAGACGGGGGGAGGGGTGGGGGCATGTACCCATTGCACCCCCTTGGATTCGGTTATGTGAGAAGGGGTCACTTTCATCTAACATGTTCAGACATAAATTTTTCAGCTAAGTTTGGGAAAATTCCAATAAACTTAAATGCGGTGTCCTTTTCCGTTGAAGTGAAACAAAATCGAAATATACCCCTGTGTGAGTGTACCACAAACCCACACCGCATAAAATGGAACAGAGCTCTCCAAACAGCTCACACAAGATCCCGGACAAAGACAAGACAGAATCTCGATTAATTTCCCTCGTAGCCGGCGCTGTATTTACAGAACAAGGCCTGGAGGTGTTGATAATTCATTAGAGCGAGGGTACGCTGTGCGTGTTGCGTCGAGTCGCGGCGCAGGGGCACCATTCAACAGCCCGCTCCATATCCTGTATCCTGTCCCCGCTTTCGCCCCCCTCGCCGCATCCCCTCCCCTCGGCGTCGCGACGGACCCGACGAAGTCGTCCCTCCTTGAAAAGCTTCTCCGTCACGACGTCAAGGACGCTCCCATAATGGTTTCTCCGCGTTGTCAGTTCTTCGCTTTCAGTGCGAAGGAACGTAACTCCATAACGAGGTTGCCGAGTTGACTCGGATAATTGTATTATATTTTTATATGTTTTGTTTTATATTTTAATTTTAATTTTTAATTTATAAATTTTTTAATTGATTATTTTTTTATTTTTTATTAATTTATTATTTTTAATTTTTATTTTTTAATTTTTATTATTTTCTATGTTTTTTTTAAAACCTGCTAATTTTTATTTTCTACACCACACTTGTGAACTTCTTATCGACTTTTTTTTATTTTTGAATCAGATCAGAGGAAAAATCAGGTAGTCCAAGATTCTCCTGGTATACATGCATCATGCGATATGAAAGTTAATGAAAATTCAATATGGATCAGGTAAAGCACATCGAAAAAGTGCGTATTTTTATGTGTTGTTTGTCGCAGGGAAAACGTCAAGACCCAACTTCAGGAAACTAGATGCAACCCTTATCATACAATACAACTTCAAAACTGCGTTAAAGTCGTGAGATAATATTATTAAAAATTAAAGTTTGCCAGGTGGAAACATTTTTTTCGCAGGTTTTTTTTTTTTTCAATAATATTATGGTGCTCAAAGAGGCCTTTAAGAGTATCTATCATTCCAGGGAAAAATACCTATGACAGTTCAAATAAAGGTTCAGGACAGTTCAAAATATTTTCAGGAAGAAATTTGACAACATTTGATCTTTTACAAGACGTTCTTTCACAGGACAGCACTGTGAAAGAAACTTTTCCCCGCTTGTCTGTTACGGGAAAACTTCGAGTAGGTTTCAAACGTCCTTCAGCTTTCGTCCTTATCATACTGAGGATTCTTCAGGTGGAACTCACAACATTCATTCAGACTTTATCAAGATTTTGTAACTTTAATGGACCACTAAACAGGTTTTTGTCCGATCTAACTGGAGAAATGAAGGGTTCAGAGCATAGACTTGTCAAGTGGCATTATTGGAAAAATGTAGATGTCCATCATCTCAAGTAAAGAGTCTCCTAATAACTCACCCTTATTCTGAGAGCTCCGAGATTTTTTTAAGTATGCCGCGTGCCGTTGAAATTAAACTTTATAATAAGTGTAGCCTGTGTTATAATTTCAGATTGAGCTCAAAATTGATTTATGCAATACAGCGAGGAAATGTTTACTTTCCTCAACGCATGAAAATGTACTTGTCAATACTTGATCATGTTAACTTGGCAATGCTACGACACCGAAATTAGCTTTGAAGTCGAGCTAAAACTTTTATTAGAAGCCAGTCTCATCATCAGCTTCCATTTCAGCCACAAGTCAATGAAATTACCAAGTTCCGAGAAAAAGAGCAAAAAAGGGCTGTGTTTGGAGAGGCTCTTCATTTTCAAATGATTGCATGCAAAGAATGAAGGGTCAAAACTCGATTTTTAGTATCATAACAACAATCTAAACTTTTTTCATGCCGTCAGCTCCCGTGCAATCTCTAAAGCTACGACTTGTTTCCTCGACGTTATAAAAAAACCACCTGACATACTCATGATATGGACTCTTGTTCCTTTTCATTTATTCCTCCGTAATTATTGTGCTCCAAAGTTATGATGAGTTACAATTTAACATACCTTGACATCTCCGAACATTTCGACCAGGTCATGAGATTCGCTACCTAAAGCTAAGTGATATAATATGTCTTGATCCATGAGCTCTAAATGTGGGTTTTGAAGTCTCACAAGCCCGTCGTGGTATCTGTAATCAAAAAGTTACAATTTGATTAAGATAGTACTACACAAAGTATTTTCCTCTGAAACAAAAATAAATTTTCGCAAAGTAAAAACGGAAATGCTGCGAACAATTTGTATTTTTCGAGACGAATGTGGGTAACCATAATTTAATTTTAATATGATCACCCGCATTTTGCACTTTTACCGAGAAACTGTTCGACATTCCCGATTGAAAATGTTAAACATATATTCCTACTTATTACCAGCAAAAAGTAGCAAAATTTTGGGCAGACATTGCATAGTTATATTTTTGCGGGGGAAAAAATGCCTTGGGTTAATTTTGAAAACTTTGAATGGAAATACACTCCTGCGACTGGTAAACCACGAATTAATGCCAGCGGGCTGAATATGTAGATTGATAAACAAAGGGAAAGTAGAGCGATTATATTGGTGGAATCGGGTGGTTGCAATGAACAAGGGAGGTAAGTACCACACTAACTATTTAACGGCAACCCACGAGAGACCCTATGGTTAGTCCATCATTTTATTTCTTTGTCCATAAGAACCGCCCATTTTAACCAATGGGATTGCTCCATTTTTCCATCGTTTTCTTTGTCTATTGCTTCGTCTACCAATGTTCAATTACCAGCTCAACGTTCTGCTCTCAATAGCTCAAATTAAAGGCGTTAAAACTCATTCAAATAGCACCACTATTAAAGAAGACTCCAAAATTACAGAACTTTGCGGTAAAAGGGCACACCCTCTACCGAGAACGGAGAGGAAAAGAAAATAAGGAATGAGAAGAAAAGTGAAATGGATGCTGGAATTATAACGCCCAGAGCGCCTTCTGTTCAGCTCACCCCGAGAACTCATTGTTGGCCTTTTGCCCAAAGAAAAGGACTAGTCCAATTATTATCCAGTCTTTCCCGCCTTCAGATGTGGATATTTCATTTACTCGCTGCGCGTTCGTGTTTAAGATATTCAAAACCAGCTGACGGTAAAGTGATTCGATTCAGTCGGCCAAACGCAAAGATGAACAATTATGTCTTCACGTCTACCGCGCGTTTTCTGGATTTCAGCGATGAAGGCATCGTCATTGTAAGTAGCGCCTTGATGCAACTATTCGTACTTAATGGATGTCCATGTTGCATAAATAACTTATTGAAGGAGCTCCGGTTCTCCTTGCCTCTGCAATGGCGCAATCCACGTGTTATTGTCACCAACTCCTGACGTGTTCCTTCATTTGATTCGTATGATTTCTAATATCATACCTTTTTTTGATAACTTTTGATAAAAATTGCATGGTTATAATATGGATTGCATTTTGCAAAGAGGAACCACTAGCATTGCAATGATGCTAAGATTTTGCAACTTCATCCTTTGCAATAAAATTGCGGAAATTGTGAAAAACTATGAAATTTAGATGGTAATTTTTGTCTTAAATTTACAGTTTTTAGCGAGTAAAATAGAAACTATTAAGGGATAATTGGGGTTTTCCTCCAAGACAAAAGAAGTTGCACAATCTTAGCAACATTGCAATGCTAGTGGTTCCTTTTTGCAAAATGCAATCCATATATTCTTCCGAAATATTAAATTTTTTGTGTCAAAGTTGCAATCTTGGAATGAAGTTAAGTTCCATGGTCTGAGAAACGATGATCGAATGAAGAAACCTGTTTAAGTCTCGCAACAACACCTAAATCGCGTCACTGCGGAGGCGCCTTCAATTAGTGTTCATGCAACATGGACATCCACAGAGTACGAATAGATGTATCAAGGCGCTATTAACAAATTCCAATATTTTACCTGCCCGGCCCAGCGGCAGGGCAATTTCTTTTTTGGAGAGCTGAAACTTCTTCTCCTCATTTTAGACTAATGACGTGTAAGTGATGGGAGGGGGGGGATTCATGTTGTTTAGAGCTTATTTTACGCTAAAAAAAAATCCAGGACTCGTATGATGAAACGGTTTCATCCTTAAAAAACTACGCGACGAATTCTTTCAAAGTGAAAGGTAAAAAGGTTTCAAGTCGAGTTGATGTCTTTGGCGGACCCGTCCGCTTTCTAGTCGCTAGACTCTAGGATTACGGCAAGTCACTTTGCTCTGAAAGAAGTTACTCAGAGATATTTTCCGTGTATTATCGAAGCGTATGCCCTCCCCGTTTATTTTGGGTATAAATCGGTGGCGTGGCGTGCTTTGCGATATATCGATTGATTTGCCATTTAGACCTATGGGAAAAGATCGATTATCAGGGCGTTCGCCCCGAACACTTTAATAATCGATTCTTTATCACATCTTCAAATGACAAAATATTGATATATCTCGAAGCACGCCACGCCACTGGTATAAATCTCAACAGCACTCGCACCGATAGACTCGTTTCGAGCGGGCCTAATCTTGAGGAGAATATTAAATGTTGATCAATCCATCATAATCTTCCGGCAAATGGGTATATGGTGTTTCCTCACCAGCCCCGAGGAGGGGGAGGGTTTAGTACATAGCGTTCTCGACAGTCCCGCTTGAATTGGGACACGCACAATTTCATCCTTCCGTCCACTCTGATTGATTTAATCAGTGCTTTGCGATATATCGATTGATATGCCATTTAAACTTATGGAAAAGGATCGATAGACACGATGTTCGCAACGAACGCCTTAATAATCGATTCTTTACTATAGCGTCGAATGGGGAGGTATCGATAATTGATCGTTCACGCCTCGCCACTAGATTTAATCAATGCCTGGCTTTAGAGGGCACCAATCACTTCGATGCCTTTATTTTGCTTGAGTTGTGTCCGAAAATAAGCCGTATTCGTCGATCACAATGCTAGCCAGGGGTCTTTCAGTACAATATGGATTTGAAAAGTTGCCACATTTTACCAGATTTATTCTTCTCTGTAGTCGATCAGTTGTGCTGGTTGGTAGCTGGTTGCAGAAGGTATACGCAAAGCAGCTCGTTTTGTATGGGCGAATGTTAGACTTAGGGGATGTCACTTTCATCTTGGGCAAAATTGGTGGTGCCATGCCATGTACAAAAGCGCGGCTTAGCGGCCGTGTATAAAGACTGTCAATCTGAACTCAGCAATTATTTAAAATATTTCCAAGCCGAAAGTTACATAATTGCCATCCGTAGTCCGCCTCAAATTAAATCTAGGATCACATGGGACAAAGAAAACTTTTTGCGCCTCCAGATGGATTTGTATACTGCCAAGAAAATTACACGGTTCGAGCTCCTAAAAACTGTCACCTACATGTTTTTACCAATAACTGAATACTTTCACTTCAATGACGCGGGCGCTTGCACTCTAGAAAATTTATCAGGTAACTTTTCATATTTTTATTTATTTCCACTATTATTCACTGTTAACCAACGCAAATACAGTCGGACTCAATTTACCTATGGGGGAAAATTGACGGTACTCAACTTACCTATGGGGGAATAATTGACGAGACTCAACTTATCCTTAAAAGATCGTTTGGGACTCAACTTACCTTTTCCCGTCTACATAGCGATGTCAATAAATTTCAATAATTAGCTCCAACGTAACTGGCTCACTGCAATTCACAGTTTTCTGGGATTTGTTGACAACGTCATGCTATTATTATTTTTGATGCAGAGACGTTCATGCTTTTCCAAAATTTTCTACGTCGTTTCAAAGGAAGAGGGTATCAAGGGGGCGGAAATTCGCCTTTCATTATCTCAAGAGGGCAGTGATGAGGGTAAATGGAAACTGCGGTGAGCCTTGTCTTACCTACTTCCACTCTTCCACTTAATGAATCCAGAAATGACTCCCATTGGTCTAACTTTCGCGTGGTTTCGGAATCAATGGAGTATGAAACGAAATATTGATGCGTGTCCCGGCCTTGAGACCTCGGAATCCGAAACCACTCTCCAGTTTCTCGCCTCGGACTAATCGTAAACTACGAGCCATTGTGTCGTGATTTACGATGAGTCGGCGATTCTGCCATTTAAACCTTTGACAAAGGATCGATTATGCCATTTAAACCTATGGAAAAGGATCGATAAACAGGGTGTTCAAAGCGAACACCCTAATAATCGATTTTTTTATCATAGGTTTAAATGCCATAACAATCGATACATCGCAATTCATGCCACGCCACTGCCGCGATTCACGCATGGACCTTCTTTCTCAAGTCAATTAAGAGTATCTGGTGCCTTGGATGAAAGTTTTTTTTGCGTTTTTTTTTCCGCAGTTCATCACTTTCCTCCGTACTTCCCTCATCCCCAGTTTTATACAGAATTTTTTCTTATGTAATGACAACTCTGAATTTTAATCGAGAAAGGATAGAGAAACTATAAAAAAACTTGTTGGAATTCAAAGGTTGTATGTTATTTATCATTTAATTCTTGCGAAAGTCCCTTGATAAAAAAGCTTAATTGCATTAATTAGTCCACGAGTAAAATCAGATTTTTCCAAGGCCTCCCACAGTTTCACTAAAGGCACGCTATCATAGGCTTTTTGCAAATCCACGAACACCAAGTGCAATTCTTGACCAACCGCCATCTTCTTCTCAATAACCTGGGTGATGCAAAATAGATGGTCGACGGTTGATCTGCGCCAGCCCTGAAACCCGCTTGCTCTTCTGCCTCATGATGAATCCATTCTTCTTCGATTTTAGCTTTCAATATCTTACCATAAATTTTACTGATCGTCCCGGTCACCGACAATCCACGATAATTATCGAGATCGTCCTTTTCCCCTTTTTTGTGGGTAGCTGTAATCCAACATTCTTTCCACTCCTTCGGGACTTCATCACCTTTCGCACATTTATCCATTAAGTCCCTTAAGCAATGGAACAGCCTGTTGGACCCACATTTAATTAATTCTGAGGGAATATCTCCGGGTCCATAAGCTAAGCTTTATCAATTAGTCTAATTTATTTATTTTACAGTTGGTACACATACTCATACTTTAAGGGATCGTAGAAGTCAGATCACAAGATAATAGTACTACAAGTTAACAATTTCGTATAACATGATTCATTTTAATCATATTCTCTCCTGAATTC